TGATAATTCGCCGGATTATTATCACTAGAAGTAGATCAAATTCAATACTAGAGCATAAAGCATGTATGAAAATGACACATACATTAATATCTATGCGCAATGCAACGTTAGTTGATTAGTGGTTGCCCTATATTTTTATCCTTAAAAGTTTGATATGAATTTAATTTCAAAACACTTTCTTTAATGGTTATATACTTGGTTGTTAATATTTATGGTTGCAGGGCCAAATGTGGAAAGAAGAAATGAATGAACATATTAAGCAAAAGAGAGCACAGCATTTGTGGGCACTTTTGATTTCATTCCCCTTTCAACCCTATGTGCAGTTCGCATCCTGAGCTGACTGTATCATCCTTCCCATTTTTTGGTGCCATTTGCAACCTTGACAGACCTTCTTCATCCTTCCCCCCTCTCACTGGCAACAAGTGACAGTGCTGGTGGCTTTGAGTTGAAAATCGTTTGAAGTTTTTGCACGAGAAGTCTTGGAGCAGCCAAGCTGTGAAGATCATCCTTGCCTAACATAGCAAACCAAGGTCCATCAAGCTCTCCACTTACATGTGGTGTTGTCTGTCCCCACAAATGTCAGATTAAGAGGGAGTAGCTAGAAGTTTAGTTCTATTTTCATTCTACCTCTTACACAGTAAGAGAACTCTGATTTCAGTTCAATGTAATTTTCATTTTTTTGAGTTCTATGCCTCTTTTTAATTTAGTGAATTCTATTTATTTGCTAAAAGATACGAGGAAACCCACCACTATACATTCGTGACCAGTTCACATAGTGTTTGATGAAACTTTGAGAGTGTTTTTCCTCTCAACATGCAATTAACCTAACTAGGATTTAAGGATGATTTGCATGATTTAATCCATGGTTTCTATTAATAACAACAATCATCGGGAGATAGTAATCAGCATTGGCTGAATTAATCCTCTTTGACGAAGTATATAGCAAGCATCATCGAAGAAATTAACAAAACACTAGTGTGGCTACCGTGATTTCAAATCTTCCCTGAGTTCGACCTATTTTTCTACTATTTTTTCAAGAAAAATAACATCTGAAAATCAGTTTATAAATGTAAGATTGATGATCTTAATAACAATGATTTTAGATCAATCACTTGTAAAGACAAGTCATGAGAAGAATTGATATAAATACCTTGCCTTTCAGCTATTATGGGCACTTGGTGCAAGTAAGAGACCCAATGCCCATTTCTCTAAGAGTACTAAACTATAATCCATGTGAAGCTCTATAAGAACTAAATTTTTTTTTTTGCAGCCTGATGGAAAATGGGGAATGAGAAGAGAAATTAGAAGCACAAATGAGGGAACAAGATCAGGGAGCAAGTAAAGAATCTTGTTGGGTGGGGAGGAAGCTCACTAGAGAGGAGAGGTCAATGGGCTTATGCCCTTGGCAATGGCCTGAGTTTGTGTCACGAGCATAGGTTCCAAGCCATGATACGGGAGGGGAACTGCAATTAGAGATTTTAGTGAATTTTCCCTGAAGAGAATTGTTTAAATCCAGTGAAGAGTTATTTCTCACTTACTAAATCCGGTGAAGTGTCCTCTCTCTTTGGGAAACGCACAAATGGGACACCAAAGAGATGTATATTTAATACAAGGGGGAGAACACATAAGGGCGAGTCTCTACTCTTCACTCTCCTCCTCATGAGGACTATGGTCTCTTCCTTTTATGTGGGGCAGCGTCCACCTGCCTAGATTCCCCTGGGATCTTCTCAGATTCATAGATCTCACCTCGATCTATAAATATTCTGCCATATCATAGAAAATCCAGTTCGGGTTCAGAAATCACACGCCATCTCGTCGAAATTAATTGCTGCTAACCCACAAAACCTAGGTTTGCCGCCTCTTCACGTATCACCATGTCACACCCCTCCACAAACACATTGCAAGTGCCATGCCATGCCAACTCGTCTCATGCCATTACAACTCATCCCATGCATGCATGCCGTGACTTGACATGCCAACATCATTCTTCCACGTGTCACTAGCCTCCGAGACTCATAGGCTGTCTTATTAGACTTTGACGTGCCTAGGTGTTCTTATCTGATTGATCAACTCGCGTCCGTATATGATTCTCATGCCACTGGTGAGTTTTTGGGCCTATAACTTCATTTTCTGTGCCAAGGGTGTTACAACTTGTCTTAGAGTAAAGATATTTTTCTTGATAGTAAATAAATTGATTTGATATTTTCCTTGTGCCAAACTGTATACAGTCTTCTCATAGTAGGGTTCTAGGGTCGTAGTTGCCTATGGATGTAGGAGTTGCGACCAATCATGTAAACATTGTCTTTTGTGGGTGCAGTAAAACTACCCCATTAATTAAATTATTTTTGAAATTTTCAGGCTTTAACTGCCGGCTTCAACTAAACTGGACATAGACAAGTTTTCTAAATCGTTGTGAGATAAGAAAAAGGTTTGGATGAGACTAAACTCGTATAAAAGCTGTTTACTTGAATCTAGAGTCATAGAAGCAATGGGTTCTCTCGGAAATTACAGGCATAGGCCTTGGCCATCCACCGCCGCTCCTCTGTGGCTTCCGAGTAGCTCTGGATCTTCTCTGAGAGCGCGGCAAATTCCCTCTACCTCTGAAATGCTCGTATAGTAAACAGAGCCCACTCACTGATTGGCTGAAGAGCCCCCACGCTGGGCAGACAGGCCTCACGGATTCGATGGAGAGCCCACCGACTGCGGTGGGGTGAGCGGTTCACGGGCCTCCAGGGGAAGTCCCGAGGCACCGATTGTCAGAGGGGGAGAGAGAAAGAGAGAGAGAGAGAGAGAGAAGGGGGGAACATGAGCTGAATAAGGCTGTTTCAGCCACGAAACTGGAATGAAGCTTTCGGAGGAAGAGATCTAAATCCGCGAAGGTGCACCACACGTTTACGGAGCAAGAACCTTGGCTTCTCTCTTTCCCTCTAGACTGGTGGTTGTGAGAGAGTAGCTTCGTATCTCCTGCCAATCTAAAGGACGATATGCCATGGGGAGAAGAGGGGGTGTGGGGAACATCAAAAGAATACTAACTGATTCGACTCTCTCTCTCTCTCTCTCTCCACTCCCTCTCCCTGTATATATATCTATATATTGGTAGATGCAATCAAATCAATGCAGGAGGTCTTCACAGTAGGCGTAATCTTTATGGCCGAAGATATCTGAAGATTTAGCTACTTCACCTCGGCATAAGCCAAGGAATAATAGTCCGCTCTCTCTTATAATGCGACTGTCTCACGATCAATCTCATGGCCCTCTGTCTCTGTCTATGTTCTCTCTCTTTCTTCTCTCTTGATTGGTCGATCTTGAATCTATTTTCTAAGGCTTTCCCAAAGCCCTGATCCGGTCTGGACCTCTTTCTCAAAGTATAATGATGGATCGGCGAAAAATTATTAGTCAGTAATCTGTCGGAGCGACGAAAAATGATAGATTAAGTGGAGTTACCAGTATGCTTATCCAATTAAAGATTTTAGATAGATTGATCTCTCATCCATCAATAAGATGAGAGAGAGATAAATAGATAGATGGAGAGAGAGAGAGAGAGAGAGAGGGAGGGAACGTGAGAGACGCCCATACGCGCATGCCGGACGGCTCACGGGTTGGAATGCATCCAAGCGGAGATCGTAAAGAACGATAACAAAACAAGAGAACCTCACGGACGGGACTTACATCCCTCGACAAGCCGCAGCCTTAGTCCACATGACTCTCCAGCTGTACCTCCTCGCTCTCTCTCTCAGACACACACACACACGGACACGGTCAATCTCTCTCGCTCTCTCTTACACACAGAGGAACACAGTCTTCTCCCTTGCTCTCTCTCTCTCTCTCTCTCTCTCTCTCTCTCTCATATATGTTTCTCTATCTGTCCATCTCTCTCGATCTCTAGTTTACCAATCTCAGACACCCGTCTATCTATCTCTTATCTATCTCATAGACACGACGCTCTCTATCTCCATCTCTTACACCTCGCTTTCTCTCTGTGTAGATATGCATCTCTTATCCATCTCTATCTCTTTCTCTGCCTCTCTCCCGCTACCGCCGCTGCGTACCCTAGCCCCCAACTCTCTTCCCCTCCCCCTTATATATGTATAGAAAGACGGAAACTTTTATAAATAAGACACCTTTTACTTACTTTAGATCCTACAGAAGAGATTCTTCCATTTAACCAACAGAGATAATCTTCGAGATACTTCTCTCTTTCTCTCTCTCTCTCTCTGTACTCTCTCGCTCTTTCATCCATCTAATCTTACTTCCACCTGTGATATGTTTTTTCGATCAAACAGTTATTTTTCAGATAGCACTCTCTCTCTCTCTCTCCCGTTATACCTCTGTTTCTGAAAAGAAACATCCACGGGCTGAGGAGCAAGATATACAACAAAGAAATTTATGAATCTATCTTGATCCCTTCACAGCTAACGATGTGACTGTCCTCGAATCCTCCTACAACAGTTCTCATAGACAAGGAGAAAGCGAGAGAGAGAGAAGACAGACAGTATTTATTTCGAATTTTGAAAGGATAGAGACCTTGTGTTCGACACAAGAGAAGTTTCAGGATTAGAGGGTCCCAAGGAGCGAGACGTAGCACTGCCGGTGCGTGACCCATGCATCCATGTGTCGCCCGCGCTTTCGTGGAAAGAAGCAAACGCCTGTTGGCCCCCACCGGTTTCTGTGGCTCAAATACGTTTGGCGGGTTGCGTAGGGTTTCCTGTGGAAATCCTCACTTTCAACATTAAACCGCAATGGTGAGAGCGAGGAACGCTGATGAGGATGATGATGCCAGTGTCCCCACACTGTACTCTCTCTCTCTCTCTCTCTCTCTTTCTCTCTCTCTCCCCACCAACGAAGCGCCAAATACTACAAGGAGCTGGCAGCTGGCGCTGGGGGTTCACGTGACATGCTCAAGGGTTTCCGGCGTTGTTATAAGAGAGCCTCCCACCTTTGCTCGACTCACCTCTGCGAGTAGTCGTCGCAAGAGAGAGAGAGCTCCCTCTCTGGAAACCATGGATTCCAGCAAGAAGCTCTCGGCTCTGTCGCTCCTGTTCATGGTGTTCATGTCCTCCTTCCTCCCCATCACCGCCTGCAGCAGCTGCCCCCCAGGCAAGGTAAAGCCACCCAAGCCGAGGACCCCCAGGACCCCTAGAACCCCCAGGACCCCCATCGTCCGCCCTCCGACCAAGCCCCCACCGATTCTGCCGCCGATCATCGTTCCCCCCGTCCTGCCGCCACCGGTTGTCATCCCCCCGGTGCTGCCGCCGCCGGTGGTCGTCCCCCCTGTCCTCCCCCCCCCGGTGGTGACGCCGCCGACCGCCCCCTGCCCGCCGCCGCCAGCAGCGCCGCTCTCCTGCCCCGTGGACTCCCTGAAGATCGGCGCCTGCGTCGATCTCCTCGGTGGGCTCGTCAACGTCAAGGTCGGCGACCCGGCGGCGAACCACTGCTGCCCCATCCTCGGCGGACTCCTGGAGCTCGAGGCCGCCGTGTGCCTCTGCACCACCATCAAGCTCAAGCTCCTCAACCTCAACATCTACATCCCAGTCGCCCTCAAGCTGCTCGCCACCTGCGGGAAGACCCCCCCTCCCGGCTTCACCTGCAAGCCCTAGTTGACTCCCACGGTCATTCCTCTCTCCCTTGTCCTCCGAATTTTCTTGCTCACGCTCAACTTCCCCCACTGAAAGTCAACGCATTCGCCTGTGTCGAGTCTGACCCAGTGGTTCTCTTGCAGGAAGAGCCAGGAGAGTCGGGTCGGCTGCGGTAGTGGAGGAGACATGAAAGGATGTCGGCACCACCCTGCTCGCCGTGCCAAGCCTCTCTCTTGCCTTTCTTGGCGAATTGTTGAAGAAGGCCTCGAGTTGTTGTTATTGCTGTTGTTGCTGTTCTTGTGCTTGTTATTATTCCTGTTCTAGGATCGATAAAGAAGTCAACTTCCTTCTTCTCCTCCGACTCTTCGAGTGTCCACAGCCCATCGGTCGGTGCAGCAGCAGCTTCCCTCCAACAGAAGAACATTGCATTGATACTCATATACGGATGAACATACACACGCACGTATATAAAAACAGAGAGAGAGTAGACGCAATGACTTGGCGAAGGAATAGTGGGACAAGTCGAATAATGAGGAGCGAATTAGATTACGGGCGTAGCTTTCAGAAAGGGACAAGTCGATACGGATTAGTGGGACAAGAGGTGGCGCCCATCGGGTGGCCCTCGAGACCTCCGTTGCTTCCGCCAATTTGAGACTGTCGGCGGCGATGAATGGGCAGGGAGTACCATGCTCCTGCCAATAGAATCTCGACTTGGAATCCAATGGGTGGAAGAGAGAGAGAGAGAGGTAGCTTTCCTTTTCATACTTCCACCTGGAGTTCGTTGAACAGATCTTTCCGTCAACTACAATAATGAAAGCATGCGAACAACGCCGCCCGCCGCATAAAGAGAAAGAATGCTCGCATCCAGTCGTCCGGAGGAAGGAGACCAAATGATTACTGTTTATGTATCCCTCATAAAACCTCTATTGATGAAAACACCCTTGAAAATAGATGCCACTATGGACTGACTAAGTGACTCGGTGCACAAACAAATCATTCATTCTTGTTTGGATACCCCTCATCATTTTAATTCCTTCAACTTTTCTCTATGACTTTTGCATCCCCGTGATTTTCTTTGGTTTCCAAGCACACCCAACGCTCATCTATTTGTCAACAAGTCCAAACCACTCTCAAATTCATACTAGCTGCCCTTGTCTTCCGTGTGTTAATGGCATCAATGACTCAGATGAGCTTACTGCTTGGAGTCTGGTCAAACCTATTCTACTCTCTCTCTCTCCAATAGTCAATAGTCGTGAATGGAAGATTAGATCGAGCATATCTAGCCAGTAGGGGTCGATAGATAGCCCTTTTTAGGGCTTCTTCTCTGATTTAGTCTCGTCAGAGGCTCCTGTTGGCATTCCTGAGTGCTATTTTAAATCGCATTCTATATCTTTGAATGCTAATTTGCATTTTATGCAGAAGCCCTTACATTATATTGTCGAAATCATGATAATATTTAGTAATAAGCCCGTCAAAATCCGTTCTTCGCTTGGTGCAGAGCATTTAAGGTTGAAGCTTTTCCCTTACAATCTATGTCAGTTGGCCAGGCCATGTGGAACGACAGAACTCATCTCGGATTCTGACTTTTGGACACTGGGCTGGGCCCAAATAGGTCCCATCAGGCCCTCCCTTACCAGGGATTCAAGCATAAGCAATAGATAGATAGATAGATAGATAGATATATATATATATATATAGAGAGAGAGAGAGAGAGAGAGAGAGAGAGAGAGACAGACAGACAGACAGACAGACAGAGAAAGAGAGAGAGAGAGAGAGATGCACAGCAGCTCGACCCGACCAGATTCCCACTTCTTAGTCTTACAAAGAGTGGCTTATGTCCAAAATAAGGTGATTTATTCACTAGTTCCAAACCCCAGTGATTTCAGAGCAACCCAAGGATGAATCCTTCACTCTGGACCCAGGAGAGGACCCCCCAGAGATTTCCTTCCTCACCTGCTGCCGCCAAATCCTCCACCGCCACCAAACCCGCCGCCTCTCCTCTCCTGCATCTGGGCGAGCTTCTCCTCCTTCATCCTCTTCACGATGTCGAGGATCTTCGGGTTGGTGAAGCGCTCCCGCACGAACTTCTTCTCCTCGGCCTGTATTTCCTTGATGGCGCTGGGGTAGGGGTCGGGTGGCGGCCTCTTCCCTTGGAGCCGTGAGATCTGCTTCAGCCGCCTGTACGCCTCCTTCTTCTGCTTCTTCTCCATCCGGTACTCCATCTAGAGGGACCATACGATCACAGTGAGGGTATTCTGGAGAGGGAGAGATCGGCTAACTGAAGGGGTCGGGGAGGGAAGATGGAGGAGAAGAGTACGTCGGCTATGGCCATGGCCTGATCTTCACCAACTCCTTGATCTTTCAGCTCCAGCACACGCCACGCAAAGACTCGGGCCGGAGGGGGGTCGAAGCCGCTGATCCTGTTGCCATCAAACATGATGAAGTTATGCCATCCATCCCCCCCACAGATGGTGGAAGCAAAGAGGGCTGACCCCCGAAGTCAACCCGTGAAAGTGGGTATATTAGCAGAAAGCTCATCTTCCACGTTGGAAGAGAATATTAATGGTTTTAGAGATTGATGACCATGCAGGAAAGCGCCTCAAAATGATGGATGTTCTTGAGAGATCATGTGCCTGAATTGATTCAGTCCCCAATGCCAGAGATAAGGGGCTGAAACAAGTTAAATTTGAATACGAAGCCCAAATACTTGAGAAGTCCCTGGAAACCCACAGCACTTTATGGAAAATTTAATACACGTGAATATTAATCTGAAAAAAAAATCATTGAAACAACATCCGCGGGTACTTAGTTAACTAAGGGAAATGACGAGATTATCTCCCCATCTAAAATGTGAACTAAAAAAATGAGAATATACTAACCAACAGGGGAATGTATAATCTTGGATAGTAACATATAGAAAATAATGTGGCAAGGCTTGAATCTACATTCGCTCAAGCATATAAAGGGTACCAACAAGCATCGCAACATGACCAAACCAAAATCGCTCGAATAGAAACTGAAATCAAGAGAAGATAATTTTAAACCGGGAGTAGGAGACAGATAGACTGCAAAACGTCGGTATAATTCCAATGAAATCAACGATCAATAATTGTAGGTGAAAAAGGAAGAAGCTTACTTAACAGCATCATGATACAGAGAGTCTGGATGTTTCTGAAAGAACTTTTTGACGTAAACATCCTCTGGCATCGTTATCTGCCTCACTTTCCCCTCCGGTAAGGAGAAAGTCACTGGCGGTGCTCTGCCATGGTAAAGCAATGGACATGTGAAGTCCATATTAATCATTTAGCACTAAAAAAAGAATCACTAAAAAAAAGAGGCATTGTACTATAAAACTTCTAAGGTTTGTAGTCTAGGTATGTATGCCGTTCCATTATTAAGTTGTATTCCTCACCATTAAAATTTATCTAAAGTATATTAAAAAGAAAAAAGAAGACAAATTTCTTTCCAATGGCTTCATCCCGTGGACATCACAGTGGGTCTCATTCCATAGACATGCATGTTCCAATGGGTGTTATCCTGTTAATTTATCTAATGGGTACGTCCAATGACACACACGCACATACTGGCTTCATCTCAAGAACATGTTAAATGGTGTTCACCCAGATAATTCTACATGGTTTCTCCTCTCTAGAACTCTCAACGTCTTAAAGACTTTAAAATAGGCTTCATTAAATGAATTTGGTAGCGTCTCTGGCATGCATTTAAATTTGTAAAAGTTTCATTATGAAGTAAAACAAAGTTACAGCATCATTTTATGATAGTAAATCAAGAATGCTTCTTGATCAAGTTGGACTTGGTCATTAGGGAGAATCTAAATGTAAACTAACATAGAAAACCCAATTCATAAATGCACTAAAGAAATAAGAAAAAACTAGATCAGGCCTATATAAAAAAGGCAAAAAAGAAACAACTTTTAAATAAACACCTACCAAAGTTACATTACAGTAGAGTTGAGGTCAAAACTTAAAAGAACATTAGTTAGCATGGAACCTGCAGAAGCCTGGTTTATGTCCATCCCTCCATTTTATGATTTTTTCACTTGAAAGAACTAAGGTTCAATCATCTAGAATCAACGTACCATTCTACCAGATGGTACTAACCCAGCGAGAAGAAGATATTTGAGTCCCTTATCTCAAGGTCAATGACATGGTGTAAGCCGAATGCTAAAAGGAGCAGGCTGAAGGATCTTCATCTGCTAGAAATGATAGGTACTTCATGACAATTAGACAGTGAATCAAAGTACCTAGGGATAGGCATAATGAGATGCCAAAAACACCGAATAACAAGAGAACCAATCAAAAACTCCACACAGATGAGTTAAAAAGGAAAAAGGCAATATAAGGTCAAAAGGTAGGTTACACTAGGATGACAAAAAGTCAGCACCAAGTGTTCTTGTTACCAACTTTGTGCATGGAGCATGTATTACTATTTCTCAAATGATGCAAGTTAAGGGTTTCATTAAACGTCACCATGTCACTATATTAGCTAATTCTCTTCGTATTGATAACTTCATTCATGTTGAAATTGCGGAAGAGCTTGCTACCAAATATAGCATTCTTAAGCACACTAGCATGAATGTTCTTGATAGATGATCTCTTTTTAGGAACGGGAAATGCTCTGGAGTTCAGGTTTTGGTTCAAAATGAATAACAGTCAAAAAGAAGTTTTCCCTTGAGCACGAAGGACGTGAAACTATAGCTGAATAGTTATGAGCATTGTGTAGCTGCAGGGACTTCTTCCAAGCCACTAGAGCTTTGACTCGACTAGTCAATGCGACTGCACATCTGTTTTGTGAAGGGAGGCTTCATGTGGAACCCTAATACCGGGAAGTATTTTAGTTGTTGAAACCAACCTATGACTTCTACCACAGAGCCTACCCTTTCCTGAATTAAAGAATATGTATGTGCTAGAATATGATGTTTCCGCATTTGGCATTGATTGGGTCCTCATGAAGCAAAGATTCCTAATTAGCATCGCAAAGAAATGGTAGCCATACTAGAACACATCAATTTCAGATTAGGATGGACAGTCTGAAAAATGTAAAGGTTCACATATATGCAACGAAAAAAGAAGGGGAGAAAACGCAGGATTATGATCTGAAAAAGGGTGCTTAAAACTTAGTTTCTGCACTCTCACCAACGTTGCAGAAGAATCACAGCGGTCAGACATCAATAAGCTCACTAGTGTTCATCACGGTGTCATTGGAAAGAGAATGATGTAATGTCACAGTAAGTCAGGTTATCTTCCATCACAGAAAATCAGATGATGAATGTGCGACTCTACACTGCAGATTGTGCTGATCTGAGACGTAAAGGAATACTGCTGCTGGTAGGTTCTCTTTTCTTTTTTGGCGGCCAATGCTTCAAGAAACGAGTTCTTCCCTGGCAGAAGGTCACCTGGGACTCTTTTGCAATCACAGGTACCTCCCACATGCTTTCTGTTGGTCGGGATAAATAAGGACCACGAATGTCTGATTCCAATGGGAAAATGGAACATAGCAGCTAATCCCAACTTCCGTTGGTCCTTGACCGTCCTTGAACAGGTATAGCTCGATTTCTCTCCGTATTTACTGATGAATCACCATTTTCCAAAGGGAAAAAAGCCCTCATAGTGATTCTAGACCAACGTACAAACTACTTTTCAATTGTTGACTTCTGATTATCGATCAGAACCGCTTGAAGGAGCTACGATCCATCGGTCTTACAGTTAAAATCCCTAAGGAGAGAATCAGACGATGTCGTTGTCCCTCAAACATGTCGCCCGACAAGCTACCTACCGGAGAACTCCATATTGCCGCAGAATCTATGGAGCCGAGGATCTTCAGAGGTGGGAATCAGGTCATAACTCAGACGATCACTCAATGGGAAAGGTTGAATTGAAGGGTGGGACAATGCAAGAAACGTACTTTATCTACGTTCGGAATTTTCGACTGGTTGAAACAATCACCTAAATGAGATGAACAGAGGCCCCGAAAGGCCATCAAATATAGGCATCAGAAAATAACAGAAAGGATTCGTATCAGACCGTTAGGTTTCATAGGATGTTGTTTCCTCAGAACCTGACAACACAGCAGGCATTGAACGGGGGAGCATTGTGAGAGTAAACGAGAGAGAGGAAAGAACGATAAGGGTTGTTGTACTCACGCCTCCATAGACTTCAGCCAGCGGGGTGTAGCCATGGCGAGTCCCTTCACGAGCTTCCTCGTTCTCGCCAGCAGGTCCCCCCTTGTGAAAGACATTCTAGAGCTCTTTCCCTAAGGACACCAAGAAAATTCTCTCTCTCTCTCTCTCTCTCTCTCTCTCCCTCTCTCTCTCTCACACACATACACACACTCACTTCCCGTGTTCCTCCTCGTCCTACCCTCCGCCCGGCGCTCGCCGCCGCCGCTTCTCCCTGTCCTGTCAGAGGCAAGTGCAGGGTTGGATGGGCGGCTGTTGAGCAGACTCGCGGCTGCCCGGGTTGGCATTTTCGGATCGGCGGCCACTCATCAACCCGCCGAAGACCGGTGCGCGACCTTGAAATGGTTTTGGGATGAAATAAAGTCAGGATAGAAAAACTTGATAGGGAAGTTGTAGCCCTAAAATCAGTTGTCATTATAGATGGCTATGATGATCTAAGAGAAGAGGATAAGGTTAGAAGATATCTATACTAACCAAAAAAATTGGGAAACTATTTAATAAACTGCGGAATAGAAAATTTTGAAATAAGATAGATTATCTTATGTTGTGCCTGATAAATTTAAGAAACTAATTTATTTTGAGTGTAGAAAACCAACTCACTTGAAGGCCAATTACTCAAACATTAAAGGATGACAAAAAGAAAAGGATGGAAATGATGGCTACCTAGACTGATGAAGATGAGTCTTCATTAGAATGTGAAGAAAAGAGCATACCAAACATATGCTTTGCTACAAATGTTTACAAAGTTAGTGAATTTTCTTTTGATGAAGCATTTAAAGAAGTTGCATGTGTTACTTACTATTTGGAAAATGCTTTAACAAAGGAAAATACAAAGTATAAAAAAGCTCAAAAAGAGAATCAAATTTTAAGGAGTAAACTAAAACTGTCTCTACAATTAGAAACCAACTAGAAGTATATGGAAATTCAAATTTTCTAAATTAATGAATTTTTTGATGAAAATATTGAATTTAAATCACAACAAGAAGAACCTAAGAGAAAAAGCTATGTTGAAAAGATTAAGAATGATGTGAAATAGTTGGTAAAACATATTTGATTTTAGAGGAGTAGGATATTCTAGACACCTAGATGAGACAAATAAAAAGTCAAAAAAATAGGAAACTCTTACTCATCCTATTCCACTATACGAAGACAAATAAGAGAAGAAGAATTTATAATTTTACAAGTCTGATAAGTCTTTATTATCATAAGTTAATAATTAATAAATAATATAATTTTAGTCTTAACTCATGATAAATAGACTTATATTTATTTAAATTATAAAAAATATTTTTTAATTAGTTAATGTGAAATTTTAGTTAATTTTATAATTTTATGTGAATTTATATAATCTTTATAATCTTATTTTTGAGATAAATGAAGAAAAATAAAAAAAAATAAAAAGATAAGAAAAGGAGGGAACCCCCAACTAACCAAGCCTACAAGTAGATTGGAAACATAGTTAGGCAAAGTTGCGAGTAAGGGCTTGAACGACTAAGGATGAACCGATAGGTGTACGTGTGCGTCATTCCTCTTCTACTTTACTAGTGTCCAGTAGGGTGTGAGATAAGGAGTGGTTATACATATGCGACATAGGGACTCATTAATTTTCAAATCTCATATTGTTATATATTCATCTCAAAATTCAGTGTGGGACTAAACCTTGATCACACCTTCCTCATAATGTTTTAATGATTTTTTTTGTACCTCAAATACTCTTTGTTTATCAAAAAGAGCTACCTTGATGATGTCACTTTATAAAGATATTCGTGTACTTATCTCACTCTCTCTCATACAGGTGAGTGATCAATAAGAATTCGAATCCTACTAGAGTCAAAATTTATACTCTTATTTGATTAAATTATAATTTTTCTACAAGTTATTGGTGAAGGATTAAGCTGCCAAAATCACTCAATCATCGACGAAAAATTCATCAATACGATTTGAAGACCATTGTTACTAAAATTGTTGAACAATTCTAAATAAAATGATTGTGAATTCATTGAGTAAATTATCTCTAATTGATTAACAAATAAACTATTATCAGGAAGAGGACGATCTATCGGGAGATGAGTAACCACCTCTTGAGAGTGTACTAGATGTGATGAAGAGTCTCCTCTTACTATGCAAACCTAATGATGATGCTCTCTAAAACACACCTCACCTCTATCTAGCTCATCTCTATCAGGTGATAGTCGTCGGAGAGTCACAAAGTCACTATCTTTCTACTTCACCGGGTGACAACCGCCGAAGACAATTCGACGACCAACTTTATTGATTTCTAAACTTCACAAAAAAATCTAGAGATTATCTATGTCGTTTGTGTCTAAAAAGAGCCTTCAAGGTTGTGGACATTGTACAATATTTTTTCTGAACATACAAAATTTTGGTAATGTTGTTGCAAAATTGAAACTCTGCCTTTCCCACTTTCAACTTAATTTTTATTTAATTTAGTGATATTTTGCGTGATTTCAAGTTACTAAAATATTATTTATTTAATTATAATTCTTCTAACTTTTACACATCTTAATTTGACCTATTAAATTATTTGTAATCACTTATGAAAAAATCATCAGACAAAACTCTATTTCCATTTGAATTACGTTTCTCAAGATATGAACGTCATCCTAACATCTGCACCCTTATTTCCCTTTTTTGTAAAAAAAATTATATTATTTACAGAAAATTTTAAAATATTACTTGATAGTATATTGCATCTTTATGATCAACCTAAAAAAATATTATTATTATTTAAACTTTTATTAAATTATAATTGATATATTTATTCATAAATACTTCTAAATATCTAAAAATTAATATTTTCTAGTCTTATAAATTTTAAATTTACATGATTTATTATACTATGACTAAGTCACGTTAAGGCCCATCTAGAATTTATGTAAATATTAGAAAACCAGTAGTAGATAGTTTAAGATTTATTGAAGAAAAACAAAGACACTTCTTGAGAACACTTAAGCAATTTTCTAACATGCCAAAATATAGATAAAATAATATTTTTTATTTATTTCAAAGGTTTGTTCGAGTGGATGAAGTTCTATAATATCTTACTAATAGATGCTCAAGGCATATGATTAGAGTGAGAACGTGGATTGCCTCATTTATTGAAAGGAAAGAGCTAAAGTAATATTTGAGGAAAATGAAAAAGAAAATATAATAGAACTTGAAAATATACAAATAAATCAATATATTTTATTTTAATTTAAAAATAGTATATATTAAAGTAATATTTATTTTAATTATAATTAATAAATTGTGTGCTTATAATTTTATACTTCAATTTGAAATTAATTTTTATCATCTTTTAAATCCTCATAGTGATTTAGTTCTTACAGCTCCAAAGAGGAAGAAAATTTACTTTGTTTATCTTTGTGAGCTACTAAAATCAAAACTATTCTAAACATAAGAATAATAGAAAACATCAACAAAAATAAAACAAGGTCAAAGAATACCAAATATAGACTTTAATGAGTATATCAATTGTGAAAACTATATTGGCGTAAAATTAATTATAAATCAAAAAGTACGGTTACAACTAGTAGACCACTAGAATTATTACATATTAATCTTTTTGGAACAACTAATGCATCAAGTCAAAGTGGAAAAAGATATAAGTCTTTAATAGTATGCGATTGCTTGAGTAGTTTTCTTAGAAAATAAAGATACAACCTTCAGGAATTTTAAAAAAATCAGTAAGAAAATAGAGGTAGAAAAAGAATCAATGTTTATGAGTGGCTGATAAGTCTTCATTATGTAGTTAATAATATAGTTTTAGTCTTAACTCATGATAAATAAACTTATATTTATGTTAAATTAGGAAAAGTGATTTTAGTTGGTTAAGATGAATTTTTGCTAATTATGTAATTTTATGTGAATTTATATAATTTTTATAATCATATTTTTGAGATAAATAAAGAAAAATAGAATAAAAATAAAAATATAGAAAAAGGGGAGGCTCAACTAGCCAACCTAGCTTGCAAGCAAGTTAGAAGCATAGTCGAGTGTAGTTGCGAGTAGGGGCTTGAGCGACAAATGATGGAATGATAAGGGAACATGTGTGCGTCACTTTCCTTTCACGTCAATAAAGCCCAACAAAGCATGGGCAAGGAGTGGTCATACACACGAGAAAGTGACTCATTGATTCTCAAATCTCATATTATTATATATTTGTCACAACATTCAGCATAGAACTGATGTGGGACTAAACCCCGATCACACCTTCCTCATAATGTTTTAATTATTTTTAAACCTCAAATATGTTTTATTTATCAGAAAGAGGTACCTTGATGATGTCACTTTATAAGGATATTGACGTATTTATTTTACTCTCACTCACGTAAGCAGACAATTGATAAGGGTTCGAAACCTACCAAAGTCAAAATTATATTTTTATGTGATTAAATATTAATCTTCTTGTAGATTACTAGTGAAGGATTAAGCCATAAGAATCACTTAATCATCAGTGAAAATCTTGTCAATGTAATTCGTGAAGCATCGTTACTAAAATTGTTGAAAGATTCTAGATAAAAAGATTACAAATCTATTCAGTAAATTATCTCTAATTGATCGACAAATAAGTCATCGTTGAAAAAATAACGATCCGTCAGGAGATGAATTGCCACCTTCTGAAAGCATATTAGATACAATGAAAGCTTCTTCTTAGTATGTGGACCTAAGGATCAAGCTCCCTAAGATGCATCGTACCTATCCAACTTATCACTACCGGGTAACAAATACTGGAGAGTCACAAAGTCACAATTTTTTCACTCTACCAAGTGACAGTCACTAGAGACGATTTGATAATTCATTTCATTAATCTCTAAACTTCACAAGAAGATCTAGAGATTGTTCATGTTGACTTTATCTAAGAAAAGCCTTTGAGGCCATCAACACTACATGATAATCCTCTTGAATGTTTAGTATTCTGATACATCACTAACGCATTATCATCCTCGTGATGTTAGAACTCCGTTTTGCCATTTTTTAACTAATTTAACTTTCATCATTATTTTTTAGATTTTGAAAAGAAATTCAACGAATGTTAGTCGTCCATGTCTAAATAGAGCCCTTGAGGTCATGGACATTACACAATAACCATCTTTTATAGATCTTAATTTGACTAATTAAATCATTTGTAATTGCTTATATAAGAATCATCAAGTGAAACTTTATTTCTGCTTGATATGCATTCGTCTAGTGCTGACATCATCCTGACATACACACCTTTATTTCCTTTTTTTGTGAATGTTAAATATATTTTATTTATATTTCTTAGTCTAAAATTTATAAATAATCTTATTCTTTGCAAAAAGTTCTAAAATATTACTCAATATTTGTATTATATCTTTGTGATCGACTATAAAAATTGTCACTATTTTTGAAACTTTTATTGAATTATAAATGATTTATTATTTATAAACTATTTCTAAAAATCTAAAAAATAGTATTTTCTAGTTTTATAAATTTAAATTTACATAATTTATTATACAACAACTAAGTCACGTCAGTGGCCATAGTGGAAAATTTTAAAATCTAAAATTTAAACAATTTTATAATGACCAATAAATTAGTCATGATTTTTTTAGTACTATGGATCCTCAACAAAATAGAGTCATTGAGAGGAAAAATAAAGTATTCTTAGATATTTGAAGGACAACGCTATCAAGAAATGAAAATACTAAAATATTATTGAGATAAGATAGTGAACACAATATGCTATATTGTGAATATAATTATGGCTGACCAATAATTAAGAAAAAATCATATGAATTATTCAAAGGAAAAAAACTAGATATTAATTACTTTTTACCATTTAGGTGTAAATATTTTATCCTCATAATTTGATGAGAAGAAATAAGAAAATTCCATCTTAAAAGTGGTGAATTTTTTTTTCTAAGATGTTGTGAAAACTCTATAACATTTAGAGTATATAATAAAATAAAATTAGTTTTTGAGGAAACAATAAATGTAAAATTTATTGAATAAAATGTGAAAGAAGTTTCTATTGAGGAAGGATTATTGGAGAATAAATTTCAGGAAATTTAAATCAATGATGATGATAAGCCTCTTGAGTTGGAAGAATATTCAAAGAAAGAAACTCTTCTAAGAGAATGGCAATATATAAATAGTGATCTAACATATCAGATTTAAGGGATGCTAAGAAAGGAGTATAAATAAGATCTAAATGAAAAGATGTATAGAATTGGAACGTATTGATCCTTGAAATTCAATTGAAAAACGTAGAAGAAGCTTTAGAGGCTGAAAATTAGATAGTAGTCAAGATTGAGGAATTTAATAACTTTGAAACAAGTAAAGTTTAGATAATAGTGCCTTGACAAATCTAAAATGTATGTCATAGGAATTAAGTGAATATTTAAAAATAAATTGAATGAGAATATAAAATTTGATAAAATAAGATGAGATTGGTAGAACAATGTTCTTACAAATAAAAAGAATATATTATGATGAAACATGTGCATTGATAGTTAGACTAAATGCCACTAGAATTTTATTAGCTTATATAAGTCATAAATTATTATCTTATATCAAATAGATGTGAAAAGTGTATTTTGAATGGTGAAATTAAAGAGGAATCTTAGGTGACTCAACCTCCTAATTTTATATATTCAGAATATACTAATCATGTTTTAGAAATATCTAAACCCTTGTATGGTGTTAAACAAGTTCTAAGAGCTTGGTATCAAATATTGACCTATTTCTTATATGAAAATGGGGTTAATATAGAAGTTTGATACTATTTTATTTACCAAAGAAAATGGTGAACATAGACTTGTGGTTTAAGTATATGATGATGACAATTTTCAGAGCCTCTAATGAAAATTTGGGCATGAATTTTTTAGAGATCATGAAAAAAGAATTTGAGATGATCATGATAGGAGAATTTAACAATTTTCTAGGATTTTAAGTGAAACAATTAGAAGATTGAATCCTTAGTTATTTTCTATGAATTCATGAATCGTTTCATGAGTTCCCATCAATGTCAAGTTGTAATAGACTTTATTTTTTATTGTTAAAAAATGTATGGAACATATCCTTGAGGAGTTTCTGATGATGAAATCAGGATTTTGATGAATTGAGAGGAACATGACCAAGTGTTGGCCTAGTCAACACTAACACAACCAATGGCTTGCAAAATAATTAAGTAGACTAATCAAAATCATGTTACTTAAATTACAATATTTACCTATTAAAAATTCTAGTTGAGTATTATAATTAAATTCAAAAAGTTACTCCAATTATTAGTACAATATGTCCATGATTGGAAAAATAATAATAATTAGATGTTAGAATCAACATTTGAACTAATGTGATGTGCAGAATTCAGTTAATGATTCTAAATTAAGTGACTAAAAGCTTCTAATCTATAATAACTTATATAGTGAATTAAATTTTACAAGATATAGCATTTAGATCCAAGATCATTAAATCACTTTGAAGATCTTTTAATTCAAGTCCAACAATAGCAAGTGTGTTGATTCCCATGCTAGATACTAAGACACCATGCAATATAAGAATAGTGCAAATCAATGGTAGAAACCATTGGTAAGTGGATGTAACCTAGGGAAGGTCAAACTAGTATAAATTTGTGTTTATTTTATTTTTTCCATTTAGTATGTTGACTCAATTATATAACTCAATATTGACTAATCATTGGTTTCTATTTACTATAAACCAATATTTGTTGACCCTACTCAATCTACATTGACCCACTTAATACAAAACTAAGAACAACTTTAAAACACATAAAAGTGGGCATTAAAGAGCAATTTCATCCCCTCTCTTAGAATTATATCTAGCTCATGTTGAGACCAACAAACACTACATACTAAGTGAGAGTTATATGATCACCAAATCAATAAGAAATTTATACTTACGGATATACACAATATGTGCATCCAAAAGCTAATTGAGTTTTTAGGATATATTTGAGACATTATTGAATGTTTCAATAGGTTGATATCAAAACTTGCTTTTTAGGGTTTTTTCTGTGTGTCAAATATTAACCTTAGATTCTAATCAAGGTCAATTAGATTCAAGTATCGTAACACCTCAATAAATCATTTAATATATTTGTGGATGCATGTGAGTGCCCAAGTCAAATTTTGTGGGTTTGGAGCTAATTTATAGATTTGGTGTGCTTTAAAATTTAGTTATTAGATTATTAAAAGATAATGATTTCGACGGGATCGAATAATTTGTTTTTATTGTGTTTCCTTTTAAGGATATTTAGTCGAATATATTAATATAATACTTAAAAAAGTCGAGTACTTAACGTAATAAGTTAAATATGGGGAGAAGCGCTTGCGAGATCCCGAGTAGCATATTCCTGGGAAAGGTGAGCGGGCCAAACAAGGAATAGGGAAACAGCCGGAATTCTGCGTCCTCCCCTTCTCGCCGACAATGTCTTTCCCTTACCTCCCTCGGGGGAGACGCCTGTCACCATCACCGACACCGACGGCTGCCGTGCAGCGATCTTACGAGAATAAAACCCACCGCTCTCTCTCTCTCTCGATCTCTGTCCGTCATTCTCTCTCGTCGTTGCATCTGCTTTTTCCTCTATCTGTTCTCTTCTCCATTTTATCTACTGTTGAAAAGTTTCTGTATCCTTTCCCTACCGCTGTCCCCGAAGGCAATAATAGTTGTCCAATCTTAGGTTTTTTTATTGTGATCAGTACATTGGGCTGCTCATTGAGTTCCATCTCCTGGGTCTTTTTACTCACTGCGGGAGGCATAGGGCTTGGGGGAAGGAAGAAAGTGACAAGAGAGAAGGAATTAGAGAATGTCGCTTCACTGCCGTTGCTCCTTGCTCAAGACGATGCCCCTTCTGGTCCCTGTGCTTGCTGTTCTCACACCCTAGCTTCTCTGTTGTAAATTTTTCTTCGTTTTCTGGAAATATTCGCCGCTGAGGTAGTCATACAGGATAACGTCGCGTGGTGAGGATCAACGATGGGGTTTCTGGTTGGATTGATACTGGGGGTCCTTCTCGGCCTCGGCCTGGTGGTCGCCTTCGTCTACTCCGAGAACTCTCGGTCCAGACGCCGCTCCGAACTGGTAAGCTCGGTTCTTTCTTCGTCTATGTTATTTGTCATGGATTCCTAATCATTGTAAACTATTGCCACTGACGGAGTTAGTTCATCAGATGAATCTTATCTTTACTCTTTATCTGAGCCTATACCAAGGATTTATACTTAAAAACAGCTGGAAAGAATCCTATGATCAAGAGCTCAGTGGATGCCTGTTTGAAGCCGCGATCACAACTATAATCTAGTGACCCCTACAGAGTCCTCTCAGGAAAATAGTCTGCCAATTTTACGCTGCCAGTCTCTAATGCATTTCCCCGTAAAAGTGAATGTGCAGCTCCTTAATTCTAACTTCGAGGGATTTTGGTGTTTTTCTTCTATTAAGTTAAAAATGACTTTTCTTGTTAAGCATCAGTCGAAGTCGATCTTGTTATCAATATTCAGTTAGAGGCAAGGACTTTTCTAGTTTGTGTTGATCAAAGTTGGTGGGTGCAGTTTGTTGTACGTTCTTAGCTTTGAGGTTATTCCTTTGTGCTCTTTTGAAGCTGTCCAATCTTCCACATTAAAAATTTGCCAATGACAGATGTGTATAGATTGAAGGTTATCATTTATATTGGCGTAAAGATAAATACACATGTTTTAGATTGCATGAAGTGAATATTAGCACTGCCTTGTGTACAGTATTCTGAGCAGGACCTGTTAACAGAGGGATTGATGAGTGCAGTATTAAGGATACGAGGAAAATTACATAAGGGATTGGTGAAATAGGGAGTGACATCTCAAGTGGAGCTAGTATTATACAGTTTACCTGGAAATCTTGTCGTTTGGTGTATTATTTAATTTAATCATATTGTATTTTTTATAGTGTGGATGTGAATCACTGGAAAGAACCATTTCCTATTATTTTTTCAGGCTACTACAATAGCGGCATTCTCAAAGATGACGGTTGAGGATTCGAAGAAGATTCTTCCCGCTGGATACTACCCTTCATGGGTTCTCTTTACTCAGTACCAAAAGTTGAGCTGCATGCTTGGGGTTTAATTATCCTTCAATTATTTGTTGGCATTACTGATTGTGTTTCTATTTTTCTTGCAGTTGGACTGGCTTAACCTTGAGCTGACAAAGATCTGGCCTTATGTGGATGAGGTACATTAAAATTATTTTTGAGACTCTTCTCGCCGGGGTGGCACCTCTTTTATCTTCCTTTCATTTTTTGCAATCCACGTTTACAGGTGGAATGCAAACGAAAGGGGACACTTTTCTCTTTGTTATATCCTATTGTGACTTTTCCTTTGTATTTTTTCACAGGCAGCATCAGAGTTGATAAGAAATTCTCTGGAGCCTGTTCTAGAGCAGTATAAATCTCTTGTTTTGGATTCTCTCAAGTTTTCAAAGCTCACTTTGGGAACGGTCGCTCCTCAGTTTACAGGTTGGTTTTCCATGCAGAACCTTAGACATGACTAAGGATTGAAAGTTTTTGGCTCGAAATGCACTTTTTAACTGATGTTTTATGTCTTCCTTAGCATTTATAAGTGTAAGCACAGGATACTACTTTTTGCTTACCTCTAATGGAGCTACCGCTTCATAGTCTGATTTCCCCTTGATTATGCATTCACCTGATGTCAATCAGGCATCTTTTTCTTATGTCAGCTTGAATTTACACTGAACAGGTTAAATTCTTGTGATTTATCTGTTGATGTTATGTATTACTGAGAGTCTTGCATCATGAAATTCTTAGCATTGTACTTGGGTGTACTGGAGATTTGTCAAAATAAATGGTAGATTTATTTATTTGGTAGCCTGTGGTTTTCTTTCCTCAGGCTGGCCCTAATCAACGAGTTTTATGAAGAGATGTGAATATCCAATGCCTGAACGTTAGTGAGATGTTCAGACTTTTTGGAGAGGCACAGGACAATAAGCAGTTATAAGCCTAAATATTGTTTCTAGCAGTGTATGTTACATTCAAAAGTTACCATCACTCTCATAGCAGTTTTGTTTGTTAATGGAAAGAAAAGAAAAGGAAATAAAGGGGACCAATGTGTATGCATGTACTCTGTGAACTATCAGAGTCTACCACTAAAGTGGTGCTACATGACATAAACTGTAGAACAATAGATAGTTGGGAAAAGTCGCTATATACAATTGCCCTGGCCACAAAAAAGGAATGACATTGTCATCTAACTGAGGTCCCAAACCAGCTATGTTTCTCTAATAAATCTCTGCCATTGGCTACGTAGATCTTAGCACCAATCATCCACATTGATATCCTAGAGATGTTCCTTCACACCTTGGTGATTATTTGGTTTCACCAATGTCTTATAATCTAGTTCTTTTGTAACACTTCTGTTTAACCACTCCATAACCTCTATCCTTGAATGTCATTCGGTAGTTCACTTATTCTTCTCTTATTAATGCCATGGTTTCCTTGCACATGTGCTTCTATGCTGGAAAATTTACGTCTACTTATTTTCTTCCTTTTTGTAATTGTTTTAGAGATCCTCTGTACAGTATAATAGTATCTTTATAAGTGAGATTACGGGCTTAGTTAAGGTTAGCCCCTCAGTATTATAAGTAACCAATTCTTGCTTTTCTGCTTTCGAAATTCTGCACCATTTTTTTCCCTTTCCCTTTGTTACAGAATTATTGTAGTGAGCAGTATCCCTAGGTAAAGTAGCGCTAATGATTGCCTTGACACTGCAGTAGCCCATGGACCAATGTTGTTATAGGAAAGGGATCCCTAAAAGAGAGAAACATAGAGCAAGAGTAGGTATTGGAGCAGAATAAGATTGAAACAAAATAACATTGTAAAGGGATGTACATGATATTGGCAAACATAATGTTATTAGACTACAGATGGAAACTGCATGGCTGCATGAGAAAACAGATGATAGGCTATTAGCGAGTGATGAAGAGACAAATAAGTGGTTGTTTTCAGCATCTGTTGCAAAAAAATGTATAGAATATGTTGGATTGGGCTACAGGTCATGCTGCAAAAGAGTGTGGAAGATGAATGTATCACATCAGCAGAAGTACTGAATGTCTATGGTGATATATCATGATGGTGTATGTATACAGTTCGAATCGTGTTATTATTAGATCTCTTTTTAGTTGTAGGTTCTCAACAAGGTTCAAATTTGGATTTCTATATGTTTATTGAGTGTTCCACAACTGAGGATCTGTGATGTATCGTTATGCACGTTCATTGTGAATAACTTAGTTACAGATGGACAACTTTCGTTTATGACATAGTTACAGATGTTCTGTTATTCTGAATGTCTTAGGTAAAGATGTTCAAATTTGTGAATAGTATAATTATAAATGTATACCTTACATACCAGGAAATTATGGCTAAACACAACTACGAAACATTGAAGACAAGCTTGATATTCGGGCATGTAAGGCTATCGTGTATAGGAGTTATTGAACTGAAACTGAAGGCATAGTGCAGTCTTAACAAGCTTTTGGGAGACTGACTTGAAAACCAAAAACTTAAAATTGATGCTATGACATTTCGGCAATTGAAAGCTGCTTTGCTAGAAGGAAAGGTTATTGTGGATGTTACTTACATCAGATTGCTGAAATTAAGAGTTGTATCTGGGTTATTTATGTCAGGTCGTACCACTTGAGTTGTACAGGAATTGTTTTGGTCATAGTGATTAAACTTACCAATCTTGTATCGTGTAAAACAGACAAAAGTAGGCGTCGGTAATGTGATTATCAGATGCATCACGAATTCTTTCAGGTGGGACGGATTTGTGTTGCACATTAAGAGGTCAACTAATGTGAGGAAGGGATGGTACTTTTTGCGGGTGTTGTATCTGTTGAATGAATGTGAAGGAGAATAAGGTTTAAAGGGACATCTGTAGGGTTGATAATGGCAGATTTCGGCACCTAGTTTCATATGGGATGATTTCTGTTGCAAACGTTTTGTGAGTATAATTAAGCTCGACTGTAAGATGTGAGGTTGTATATTCTCTTCTCTCGTTTGTTGTTTATGGTGCCAATATTGTCCATTCACTGGCTTTCAAAATTGTGCTTATTTTCTTGGGTAGTTCGTTTATTTATCTATTTTATGTAGTTATTCTGCACACATTTACTTGTATTATCCTTTTTTGCATTACTGTTCAGTATAGTTCAACTGTAGGACATTGTTGGCATAGCAAAGTTTAGGGCATGAGAAATGGATGATTGGATCTCAGGCTGCCAGCAGGTGAATTTACTCAAGTGCCTGGTGATTTGCATCTAAATCCTACCCAACATTTCTCTGGATAACAATGACGTTATGTGTGCCTTTGCAATCATTGGCAATTAAGAGATGCTACAGATATCTTTTGGTTCCCCTCCCTCACGCTAAAAGGAAAGCAAGAGCAAGATATCACCTCTAGTTGAGACTTGGACTCCGTTTCTCCCTCACTCTCTTTACACTTGACCCTAGAAGATTTTATTCATAATACTGGCAATTTTTGGCAATGTTTTGTTTTTATGTTTGTACTCATTTATCATTTACTATCTTTGATGTACTGCCCATGTAGATCAATCTCTTTCTATGTGAAAGCCTGAGGAGGTTTACTTTTGCTCGTTAGGTATCACAATCATTGAGAATAAGGGGCGTGATGGGATCACCATGGAATTGGAGTTGCAGTGGGATGGAAATCCTAGCATCATACTTGATATTCAGACAAAACTTGGGGTGTCACTTCCTATACAGGTGAAAACACTAGCAACTTGTTTGAACAAGTGCTGGCAAGTTGCTTTAAACTCAAACGTGTGAGAATATTGTCTTTCCCTTTGGCCTCAAGTTTGAGATAATGAATTGTTTGCATGATATCTTTTGTTTATCCCTTCTTCCATATTGTGCAGATGTATCTAGCATATTGTTTTCTTGTAGTGGTCATTTATGAAAATATTATGTAGTAGTGGGCATCAATCTTCTATTTGAGCCTTTAAGTGAGTCAATTATGGACTACTTAATGGTCTCTCCCTTTCTTTCTTCAAAATAAGAGGGCTTGGCCTACTATAGATGTAATCAGTATTTAAACTGGTGTAGAGGTGAATTGAAATTTTTTCGTGAATCTACTCTAATAGGATTTTCTAGGCTGCTCTAGTGAGAAGGGAGGGAAAATACCTGATCAAGAAGATCAAGATCCTGATTTGACATGGTATCAGAGCTGGTTGAGGCGTGAAGCATTGCAAGGAAAAGGACATGCCTTCCATCAAGTAGAAGCAAGCATTTAGGAGGTCAGTCGACAGCAATTCTTGATTTCAAGAATCAAGAAACAGGAGATGCCTATGGGCCAAGAAGCTTCTGCATCCAACTCAGTCATGACAACAATTGTTGGTGGCCGAGACAAAATAATGTATGCACTGCTAAGTATTCCTGAGTGCTTAAAATTTAACGGTACCAATCTGTACCAATGGGAGAAATTTGTGGAGTTAACCCTTCTTGGAAGAGGTTTGTCAGAGCATCTAATTAATGATCCTATTGGTATGAATGATTCAAATTACAAACTTTGGAAATCTGAGCAAGCCTTTATTCATTCATGGCTCCTTGGAACTATGATAGTAGAAATGTGTGATAACTTTCTTTATATGACTACCGTGAAAGAATTGTAAAGTGAAGTCCATAAGAATTGTTCTAAGCAGTAGAATGATTGGAAGATCTACGGGCTAAATGCCAAAGCAATGAGGACAATACAAGGGGAGAAGACAATCATGAAGTTATCATGTGAATTGAAGGCTATATTGCATGAGATTGATCATTATTGACCTGTGAAGAATCCTCACTCCGAAGAAAGAAATTACGTATTAAAGTAGAGAATGTTTACATTCCTAATGGCTTTAAATCTAGAATATGAGAGTCTTTGGAGTTAGATCCTACACAGAGAGAGCGCACTGAATTTGGATGAAGCCATCGGTATTGTTATGGAGGAAGAGAGTCGACTGCATCAACTCTCAGATCCATCAAGGCCTAGCTTGTTTTCCACCAAGAAAATTGAAAAAAATCAAGCCAAGAAGTTCAGCAAGATTATAAGAATTCAATTGATCAAGGACAAAGGGCTTCAAATGACTATAAGGATAGTCTTTGGTGTTTTTTTGCAAATGCAAAAGACATACTAGAGAATCTTACTGGAAGTTGCACAAAATCGAAAGGTATATGTTGCTGCTTCTCAGAGTCATGAAGGTGGAGAACAAGGGTAGACAAAAGAACAAATAGCAAAGCCTACTCATAAATGTGGAGAGGACCTTATGAAGATAAAGGAAGAATTAGAGTGACTCAAAAGCATGTTGAGTTCTACCTCATTGGCATGTTTAGGTGAAAACAAAGTATTTTTCAGTAATACTATTATCCCAAAACTCACTAGAATACATTGGATTGTTGATATTGGTGCCAAAGATCACATGACACCAAATGTCTCTAGATTCATTAATTGTTTAAAGATAAATAGGACACATAAGGTCCTTATAGTTGGAAGAGGGATCTTATCAGTGGCGAGTATTGGGAGCATCAAAATTAATGGGTTGAGTACACTTAAAGATGTACGTCATGTGCCTAGAGTTGAGGCACATCTTATATCCTTATAAAAACTTGTGCAAGATTTTAATTGCAAATTTATTCTTGAAGATGATGCATGTTTTCTAATTGATAAGGTGTCGGGGTAGAGGACTAGACATATTAGGTGTCAAGATGACCTTCTCTATCTGGAAGATCAAGATGTAGTATGTCTCTCCTCTCTTAATCTTTTTGGAGACACTAGGAGCCAAATCATACTTCAGCATAGTCATGTTGGGCATCCTTCTTTTGAATTGATGAAACATTAATTTCCTACCATTCGTAATAAGGTTGATGTCAAAACTTTGATTTGTGAGGCCTATCAATTGGCCGAACACAACCGATTTATATTTCATTTTAAGAATGAAAGGAGTTTAGTATCACTATATCAGATTCACAATGATATATGGGGGCCATGTCAGATATCTAGTATATCTGGTGGCAGATGATTTATGCTATTTGTTGTTGATTGTACCTGATTTATATGGCTTCTTCTTAAGTCTAAAGTTGAAGCTGCTCAAATTATCCCACATTTCTTTAATTTTATAGACAATCAATTTGGAACAATGATAAAGCAGTTCAGAATAGATAATGCCAAAGAGTATTTCAACACTATGATCTACCCTTATTTTGCTCAAAGAGGCATAATCCATGAATCATCATGTATTGATACTTCATAACAAAATGGGCTAACCGAAAGAAAGATTGGCCAAATTGTGGAGACAGTTAAAGCACTATTATTCCAAAGAAATGTACTCAAATAATATTGTGGAGAGTTTATGTTGACAATTACACATCTTATAAATCACATACCAGCAAGATTAATTGGACATTAGAGTCCAATTGATTTATTGTCTAAAGCTTATCAAAATGTAAAGTTGCGAACGAACTTAGCTCCCAAGGTGTTTGGTTGTGTGGTATATGTTCACACTACTAATACTCAATTGGGTAAGTTGGATTCTAGAGCACATAAGTGCATATTTGTGAGATACTCATCCACTCAAAAGGGCTATAAATGTTATTGTCCAGCATCTAGAAGATATTATATCTCTACAGATGTTATATGTAATGAATATGAGATGTATTATAAAAGGACCAAAGAGCCTGATATTCAAAGATCATAAAATCCTTTAGTTACTAGCTCGAAAGACCCTTGCCCTCAAGTGACACAAATATTTAGGAGACAAGTTCAGACAAAGTCACCTAATACAACAATCACGGTTGAGGAAGAAAGGGTGGACAATGTAACTGAACCAATGCAGCTGGAGGAAGATGATTCAAGGCAAAATGAGGTCAAACAACTTGATGTAGGCCTAGCTGAAGATGATCAGCTCGGATGGCCTATTGCCCTATGTAAAGGGGTAAGGAATTGTAGAAACAGACTAAGGTATCCAATGGCCAATTATCTGTCATATGATAGATTGAGTCAGGAGCATAAAGTATTATTGAGCTCACTTAATACGACGTGTACCAAAAATAGTTGATGAAGCATTAGCTAGAAAAGAGTGGAGCTAGGTAATGGATGCAAAAATGGAAGCCTTGCAAAAGAATCATACATGGGATCTGGTTCCTCTCCCAACTGGTAAGAAGGTTGTGGGGTGTAAATGGGTATATACCCCGAAATTCAATGCAGATGGGTCACTTGAAAGATATAATGCACGATTGGTAGTAAAAGACTATACTCAATCATATGGGACTGATCATCTTAAAACCTTTGCTCCCATTGCTAAGCTTAACATTGTGAGGATATTGATTGCTCTGGCAACTAAGTTGAACTAGGAAATACATCAATTTGATGTCAAAAATATATTTCTACATAGTGAATTGGAAGAGAAAGTCTACATAACTATACCTCCAAGATATCCACTATCCAATCAATTAGGAGTGGTTTGTAGACTAAAGAAAGCCCTCTATGGTCTCAAACAATCTCTTTGAGCTTATTTTGGGAGGTTCACCAAGACAATGAAAAGTCAAGGATATAAACAGAGTAATGCAGACCATACTTTGTTCATCAAATATAATTCGTGTGAAGGTATGACTATATTAATTGTATATGTCAGTGATATATTGATCACAGGTGATGACACAAATGAAATTCAAAATCTGAGTAAAACCTCTCACAAGAGTTTGATATTAAGTCTCTTGGGAGACTAAGGTATCTTCTTGGTATTGAGGTGGCACACTCGAAAGAAGGTATCTTTATTTCTCAACATAAATATACTATTGATCTGCTCCATAAAACTGGACGACTTGCTTGTAAATCAATAGTCACACCAGTGGATATAAATGTGAAACTTGAAGCAAGAGGTGACAGTCCTCCAGTTAATAAGGAATCCTTCCAAAAGTTGATTGGAAAATTGATTTATTTTGAATCATACTAGACCAGATGTGGCATATGCTGTGAGTTCCTTGAGTCAATTTATGAATGACCCAAGAGAAATTCACTTACAAGTAGCATATTGTTTTCTAGCGTATTTGAAGAATACTGTAGGACAAGGCCTATTATTTTCACGAGGTAGTGATAGTACTGTGGAAATATATACAGACGTAGATTATGCAGGATCAGTAAGTGACAAGACGTCAACATCTAGATATTGTTCCTTCATCGATGGAAATCTGGTCTCATTAAGAAGTAAGAAGCAAAAGGTGGTGTCTAGATCTAGTGCAGAAGCTGAGTTTAGAGCTATGGCTCAAGTTATATGTGAAGCAATATGGATAAAAATACTACTTGAAGATTTACATCTGTACTCTCAAGGTTGCATCAAGTTATACTGTGACGATCAATCATCTAATGTTATTGCCCATAATTCAGTCTAATATGACAGGACAAAGCACATTGAAATAGATCGTCATTTTATCAAGGAAAAGATTAAAGAAGGGATGATAAACTTGTTGTTTATCAATTCTACTAATCAAGTGGCAGATATATTCACCAAGAGGCTGCTGAGACCAACTTTACAGAAGCTTGTATTCAAGTTGGGCATGTCTAACATCAACACCCAACTTGCAAGGGGTTGTCAGACAAGCTAGGATCTTGTTATTGTAGTGTTTCTCTTCTATTTGGGCTCTTAAGTGAGTCAGTTATGGACTACCTAGTGGGCCCTCCCTTTCTTTCTTCAAAATAAGAGGGCTTGGCCCGCTATAGATGTAACTAGTATTTAAACTGGTGTAGAGGTGAATTGAAGTAAGACTTTTCGTGAATCTATTCTAATGGAATTTTCTAGGTGGCTCCAGTGAGAAAGGAAGGTGAAGACCTGATCAAGAAGATCAAGATCCTGGTTTGACAAGTAGAAACGAGATCTATTTATCCATATTTAGTCTATTTATTACTTTGAAGGAGAACTCGAGCAATCTGGCTAGTGGCTGAGATTTGATCCCTAAGCTGAAATTCTTAAGTCGTTTGATTTATGGTTACTGTACTAAGAAAAATCTCAATCTTTTTTAAAACTATTGCTGTCGTGTTGCTGTATCTAATTAATTACTTTCTTGCTGGGCATTGTTGAAGAAACTATTTCATCTGCTGCTAGATTGCTCACGAGTTCTACATTTTTCTCCATGGTTCTTCTCACATGTGCTAGTTACATTATAGGAATGCTATGGATTATTCCCAATAGAACCTGAGCTTCAATGAATAAACTGAAAATTCAACCTCCTTACTTCTTGCAAATTTGCTTCGAGATTCTAACCTCAGGGATGCCACCTCACTAAATTCTGACTTCAGAAAACCTCATTGAGTTTTATGGATCGATTGCTTCTGGCAATGATCGAGGAAATTCATGGCATCCCCTATCCCACATATATTTCATATATTCGGAGCGTGTTACAATAATCAGATGATTTGCTAGCATATCAACGAGGCACATATTAAATCAGCAATTACTATCTTGTCACGGGCATCACTCTCAGCCGATCTGCTCTTTCTATCTGGTTCTCTTTTAAGTCGTTCTATGATCACGCATACAACAGAAAATTTTCGATTTCCGGTCTATGCTACTATCTGGGCCTTTCTTGAGATGCCCATGCATGCTATTATATTACGGAAATTTTGTTTCCGTCCCAGTGATTATCTCGAAGTTCAACAACAAGATGAACTGCTTGTCCAACGTCATTTTTTCCCCTTCATTTCTATGGGAAGAAAGCATACATTGGCCATTGTTACTATGAATTATGTGGTTACATCAAACTGATGATAAAAAAACTAATAAATATTTATGCTAATTGTCCTTGTCACATCCCTAGGTGAAAAACGTGGCATTCACTGGGGTATTCCGACTGATCTTCAAGCCATTGACGGACCAATTCCCCTGCTTTGGTGCAGTTTCTTATTCACTGAGGCACAAGGTGCGGTTTTAGGATGACAGCCTTGAAATATGGTAGCCATATCATTGATACTTTTTTATCATTTTAAGTTTATTTTCTGGATTTTTCCTATGTTTTACATGCAGAAGAAACTTGATTTCACTCTGAAAATTGTTGGTGGGGAAATATCATCAGTGCCTGGAATCTCGGATGCTATTGAGGTTAGAAGAGAATCCAAATCCAATTCATCTCTTTTGCGTTTTGCTTTTTGATTGCTACAGTAAAAGGTAACCAATCATGCAGGAAACTATACATTATGCTATTGAAGACACCTTAATATGGCCTGCAAGGAAAGTTGTTCCAATCATCCCTGGTGATTATAGGTGGGGACTTTTAGTGGTCTAAGCCTGGAACTCTGTGCACACAGATATACTATCATTTGCTTGTTCCACTAACTGAAAATACTTATTGCAGTTATTTGGAGTTAAAAACTGTTGGGACGTTGGAAGTGAAGCTTGTTCAAGCAAGGGGATTGACGAATAAAGATGTTATTGGGAAATCTGATCCCTATGCTGTTCTCTATGTTCGCCCGTTACATGACAGAATGAAGACGAGCAAAACGATAGTATGCACTTTGCATTTTTTTTATTGTTTCTCGGTCTCAGCCCTTCTAAATTTGAAGTCACTAACTGGATTTTGTTTTGCAGAACAATGATTTGAATCCCATCTGGAATGAACACTACGAATTTATCGTTGAAGATCCATTGACCCAGCATTTGGTTGTGAAAATTTATGATGACGAAGGAGTCCAAAAGTCTGAGCTCATTGGTTGTGTTCAAATACCGTTGAAGGACCTTGTGCCTGGGAAAGTGAAGGATATATGGTTAAATCTTGTCAAAGATTTGGAGATTCAGCGAGATAACAAACTCAGAGGACAGGTTGGTCTGTTCCCATGGAGTACCCAGTGCCTGTTGTATCTTGTGGATGAGAATGCTTCACTCTTTTTAGTAAATTTTTTGGATTACGATTTCTTTTTTCAAAAAAATAGAGGAATGGAGAAAGAAAGAATCAGGACAGTAGTTGATCTGAATTTACCGGTTTTCCAGAATAACAGTTTCAAAAATGGTGACCATGGTTTCATAAGTATATCCCTTTTCCAAAGATATTCCATGAATACTAGCCATAGTGTGAAACACCAAAGTATTCTTATGCTCATTTTAGTGTAGGTTTTTTGTTCTTTGTTTGTATTTTCCCTCTCACCTGCATGATTTTGTTTGTCCGCTTTTTCCATTGTTTGCAAAATTCTTGCGTTCAATTGGAAAATCTTATCTCAATTTTCTCTTTTGGGCATTTATCCAACTTCCCAATGGAAGAATGGTTTCCATTTTTTTACTAATTTGAAGTATCTGTTTTTTGTTGTCCTCTCCCCCATGCATCGTTAGATCCCTGCTATATGCGGTACCACTTGCTATTCTTGCGCAAATGTTTCGTGTATCTGACTGGAGTTTTGAATCTGTGACAGGTCCACCTGGAACTTCTCTACTTTCCCAATGGAATGGATAGTGGGTTCTCTAATCCTTTTGCTCCCAGGACGTTCTCAATGACATCTTTGGAGAAGGCTCTCAAGAATGAGGCAAATGGAATCGATGACACTACCTCCGACGGGGCCTCTAACCATCGGAAGAAGGACGTCATCATAAGAGGAGTCCTGTCTGTCACCGTCCTTTCTGCAGAGGACTTGCCTGCCACGGATCTTATCGGAAAGGCTGATCCGTATGTTGTGCTCCAGATGAAGAAGGCCGAAACAAAGAACAAAACGAGGGTATTTCTTTTTAAATGAGTCATCAGGCTCTTTTTCCCCGCACTCTCTGATTGCATATACTCTGTGCCTTTTTCAGGTGGTGACTGATAGCCTAAATCCAGCTTGGAATCAAACGTTTGACTTTGTCGTTGAAGATGGGCTACATGAAATGCTTATTTTGGAGATATGGGATCATGACACATTTGGGAAGGTATGTTCCCATTTTAAGTTTCTTGTGTGAACACCAAGTTCAATGCTGTCATCTTTCAGTGGTCCCCAGTTGCACGGTCATCCTGTTTTCTTTTTTATGTCCATCATCAAATACCTAATATTATTGTATTATTGGGCATAATTGGAAGAACAATGGGCCGTTCGATGGAATACAACTCGAGAATGAGTGGAATTGGCCCATCTATATAAACAGAAGATTTATTATTGTTATTATTTATTAATATGGGTCTTTCATCATCTGTCTGTGCCGGTAATAAAAATATGACATTTCCTGCTTATCAAGCTGTTGACTCAAAATAAATATGCAACCGATGGAATAAGCCATCTCTATAAGTTGACTGTATACTAATAATAATTACGGAAATAAGCAATTCTAAGGTAGGTTCTGAAAGGTTGGGAAGTCTTACATAGCTGACTTTTTTTCTTCTCTTGGTTATTTGACCAGGACTACATGGGGAGATGCATCATGACACTGACGAGGGTCATAATAGAGGGAGAGTTCTCGGATAGTTTTCCCTTGGAAGGCGCCAAGTCTGGGGTTGTGAATCTGCATCTCAAGTGGACGCCGCAGCCAATATACAGGGACTCATAATGCTGACCACCGACTGGAAGAAGGTCCTGAGTGTACCCAGAGATCCAGGTTTGGAACACTGTTTTATCCTCTACTCTGGCCCCTCTAGCTCCTCCGAGGAGATTAAGATCCACAAAAGTGAATAAAAATAATATACACCTTCATTACCTGCCTGCTAGACCAATTCCCATAGTCTCTGACTGTACTTTAGATTCTGTTAGAAATTTGGGTTTAAATCCTTAATTTTCTCCCTCAGGATGTGGAATCAACGGATCTATTTCTCGGAGGGCCTTCGAAAAGCCGTGTCTGATGACCCATGTTTTTGTGTTATCACTGGTCCGGGTCCGATAGAGAGCTGGGCTGTGTCCCATCTTGCTTTCACCACACTCGAGACCTGGTTCAAGCTCATTTCCTATTAGGAGTCCGAGTTTTGGCATCCGGCGAAAGCCAGCCTTGTACTATCTAAAGTTGAGTTTTCATTATATAATCAGCGGTGCAATGATTCCACGGCAGATGTCTGCGGCGTTCCTCAAAATCATCCACATTTGCGTTTGCACTTGCACTGCATTGCATTACAAGTGCAATGATTTGGCCACTTTGCGCTTGATTTGGGGAGGGGGGAGATTATGCAGCTAGTAAGATTTTCTGCATTTTCTTGTCTTGTCATGAACGCACCCAGTGGAATTCCGTTAATCAGACCCTTTTTATACCGTGTTCAATGTGGTTCAAGATGATGGCATGTCATGTCATGTCATGTCATTACAAGCTGCTCCTCCCTGTGGTTTACATAATGTACTTCAATGATATGGTCACCTGTATTTTTTTTCTTTTCGGCAAGTCTCAACATGTGGAAGAAATCTTGGGAATCTACCGAGCTTTCAGGCTGGATTGGTTGGGGGATTATCTCCTCTCTCATAGTGATGATGTGTCTGAAGGTGAACCGAGTTTATTATCACAAATGCTAAAAGAGAACCTCCTCAGACCCTAGCCACCCTTCGCTTAATGGGTATGGCCCGGCCTGGATATGGCCCAGCAGCCCAGCCCACTCCGTTATGTTTCAATTCTTGGGCGTCCTATTCTAGGGTTGTTTTGTTTTAACCACGTTGATTTTAAAAGCGGCAAGTCGTTGGGCCTTGAGTCGAGCCCATTGTCAGGCCCACTGTGCCAACATGCCCACACCACCAGGCCCAGTCCACTCCCCCCCTCTACCCCCCCTCCCCGGGTTAATGCGGCAGTCCTTTTGGAAGAGAATTGGGTTTCGGGTTCGTAAATCCGCCTATTTTGAAGCTCTTTTGGCCCACCTAGGGCTATGTCAGACCGCACTTACTGGGCTGGATCAGCTCTTACGCACGGTGGGGCCCCGCTCAGATGGTTATCCTATCTTATCTCGCCACGTGGCATCTTACATCACCCAAACACATCTCTCCACCTTTATGCGCGGGGCGGGCCTAATTTCGGGCCAGACCGGGTTCGGGCTTTATCGGGTCGCTGCACCCCACTCGGAGTTCTCATCGCAATCTCGGCCGTTAATTCGGCGTTCACCATGCCGTCTGATAGAAGTCTCCATCGCCACCTAATCGTGTGATTCCCCAGGGGTCCACCGAGAGCTCACTCAATCGAGGGTTTAGATGTACGGTACGTTCAGCCCTTTCTTTTCACAAATTTTACACGCACCACGATCGAAACCACACCTTCATGGGTTCGGTACTCGCTTTTATCGAATTTCGCCGAGGAAATTATGCAAAAAAAAAAATTGTTAGGGGGGGTAAGCACAATTTACTCGGTTGGAGGAGGCGGCGGTGGGAGATTATTTTTCAACGTTTTTAATCCGGATTCGCAGATGGAGCGCCGACGTGGAGTGAATATGACTAGATGCGCACGGTGGAAAGGCGTGGAGGTGAGAGAAGGTGCACTGCTCGTCAGATAACGACAAGAAGAACGACTGCTTTTGTCGTGTTGTAAACCGATGTTCTGATTCGAGTCACTGCCCGTCTCCATGCGTTTGACCTCCGTTCTCTCACCCCAATCATTGGGATTTTTTCATGCCGTGAAAATCCTTGTGCACGGTGTCTGTGCGCCAACGAATCACATCGCAGAATGAAGGGACGATGCGATCACGCTGTAATTCGTCCACCTGGACCATGACGTGGTATGTGACGCGGGTGAATGTCCTGCTAATGGACGTTCCCCACGACGATGCTTCGTCTCGGGCCCTCCAACTCTCTCTCTCTCTCTCTCTCTCGCTTTCTCTCACTATCTGTGTTACAGGATCTTGAGTGCTGAAGGTTAGGTATCTAGGAGGGGACGGGGGAGGGGAAGTGAAGTGGAGCAGGAGGAATAGGCGGCGGCAATGGAGGTGAGAGGAGGTTCAGGAGGGTGCAGCGCCGGTGAGGTTTCCTTCCAGGTGCTGGTGGTGCCCCTCCTCGCCAGCGACGACTACGAGGATCAACTTGAGGAGCCGTTGCTTGGCGGAAACGACTATGAGGATCAGCCTGAGGAGGAGCAGCTCCACCTCCGCCTCCAAGGAGAAGGGCAGTTGGAGGACTGCTGCCGCTCCCAACTGCTGCTCGAAGGTGGCGGTGAGGACGCCTTCCCTCTTCGGCGGGCCGCCCCCAATAGCACATCCCAGCTCGCCATCGTCGGATCCAATGTCTGCCCCATCGAGAGCCTCGACTATGAGTACACTCTCCCCTCCCCCAAAACACGCGCGCGCGAACACTCTCTCTCCGCTGTGTCTTCACGTCTTTCTCTGTCGATCTCTCATCGGCAGTAATAGCGAGAGTAGTTTCGATCAAATGAAAGAATTAATGATGGTGATTTAGCGTGAGAAGGAAGATCTCCCTCTCTCTATCTCTCTGCTCATATATCTACATGTCTGTGCGTGTAACGCGCCGTGTATTTGGCGGAAGCAGTGGTAGGAACTGATATATGATCGTAGAGAATTAACTGCTGTTTGCTCTGTCGTTGCGCAGGATCATAGAAAACGATAGCTTATTCAAGCTGGAGCAGGATTGGAGGGGGCGGGGAAGGGGGCAGATCTTCCAGTACGTCCTCCTGAAGTGGACGCTGTGCTTCCTACTTGGCCTCACCGCCGGCGCTGTTGGCTTCTTCAATAATCTCGCCGTCGAGAACATTGCTGGTGTCAAGTTTGTCATCACCTCAAACCTCATGCTCTCTCGCCAGTCAGTATCACCTCCCTCCCTCTCTCTCTCTCTCTCTCTCTCTCTCTCTCTCTCTCTCTCTCTCTCTCTCTCTCTCCCTCCACGATGTGGGGTAATAGTTGGCGCTGTGGTCGTTGCAGGTATGGCTTGGCCTTTGCAATATTTGCTGTTGCCAATTTCGTCCTCCTGATGACCTCCTGTGTTATCACTGCTTTCATTGCCCCTGCGGCAGGGGGATCAGGTATACCAGAAGTGAAGGCCTACTTAAATGGGGTTGATGCGCCAGAGATCCTGTCATTCAGAACACTCGTTGTCAAGGTTTTCTCTGCTGCTACCACTGAGGGGATCCATATATTTATACTTGATTCAGTAGGTCTATAATTATGATATCCATTTGAACGTCTGATTTTTCAGATTGTGATGTACATTTGATTGCCATTTTTGTAGCTCTTTTCGTTTTTCTATTTTCTGTTGAATTTCACTCCCACCATTTCCATGGAAATGTTCCAAAATGGGCGTTCCATATTAATTGATAAGTCAAACAATACTTTCCTAGATTGTCCTCGATATTCTGGCTTTCTTACTCTCTCAATTGTTAAATAAAGTAAGCGATCCTTTTAGTTTGAGAAATATTTCCAATCTATTTTCTGATTTATGTGACAGATTATCGGCAGCATCCTTGCGGTTTCTTCTTCACTGCACATTGGAAAGGCAGGTCCCATGATTCAAACTGGTGCATGTATTGCGTCATTGCTCAGTCAGGGTGGCTCCAAGAAGTACCACCTGACTTGCAAGTGGCTGCGGTACTTCAAGAACGACCGAGACCGGCGTGACCTTGTTACTTGTGGGTCAGCTGCTGGAGTTGCTGCTGCCTTCCGTGCACCAGTTGGTGGTGTCCTTTTTGCTCTTGAGGCAGTATCCTCTTGGTACCCACTTCAACTTTATTGTGCTGCTTTCTATATATAGGCTATTGTGCTCAGATAATCTCCTTATGAATATTCTGTTGCCCTCCTGTTTCGTTCATATTTCTCTGATGCTATTCAAATCATCAACCGTCCCTGAAATTTTACATCTTCATCTGCTTTACAGGTGGAGAAGTGCACTCCTTTGGAGGGCATTCTTCACTACGGCCGTGGTTGCTGTAGTCCTTCGGGCACTGATTGATGTGTGCAGAAGCGGCAAGTGTGGCCTGTTTGGAAAGGGTGGATTGATCATGTTTGAAGTAACGTCAGATAGTATTGTCTATCACCTTGTAGACCTACCTGCAGTCATCTTTCTCGGAATCTTTGGAGGCATATTGGGCAGTATATATAACTATCTTCTTCATAAAGTCCTACGAATCTACAATCTCATAAATGAGTGAGTTAATTTCCTTCATTCATTTCTGTAAATGAAATAAATGAGTCCATTTCAGTATGATTGCCATTCTTTGTAGTATCTGTTGGTTCCTGTTGCATATCACTTCATCCGACTTTCTTTTTTTCAGGAAAGGAACAGCCTGCAAACTGCTCCTCGCTGGAACCCTTTCGTTGTTCACGTCATGTTGCCTCTTCGGGCTACCATGGCTTGCATCTTGCATGCCTTGTCCAGTTGGTGCGGAGGAAATCTGCCCATCAATAGGAAGGTCTGGAAACTTTAAGAAGTATCAGTGTGCCCCGGGCCATTACAATGACTTGGCGAGCTTATTTTTCAACACAAACGACGACACTATTAGAAACCTATTCAGCTCCGGCACAGATCACGAGTTCCAGCATTTCTCAATCCTTCTCTTCTTCATCACCTCCTATTTTCTCGGCATCCTCAGCTATGGCGTGGTAGCTCCTTCGGGCCTCTTCGTGCCGGTGATATTGACTGGTGCAACCTATGGGCGATATGTCGGCATGCTGATGGGCTCCCGCTCGTCCCTTGATCATGGTCTCTTTGCTGTGCTCGGAGCTGCTTCTCTGCTCGGCGGATCGATGAGGATGACAGTCTCCGTCTGTGTCATCATCCTGGAACTGACCAACAATCTGCTGCTGCTTCCACTGGTCATGCTGGTTCTGCTCATATCCAAGACCGTGGCCGACTCCTTCAACCCCAACATCTACGATCTCATTGTGAGGTTGAAGGGGCTTCCTTATCTTGAAGATCACGCAGAGCCCTATATGAGACAGCTTACAGTCAATGATGTGGTCAGTGGCCCACTGCAATACTTCAGTGGGGTGGAGAAGGTGAGCAATGTAGTTCACGTCCTGAGGGCAACTGGGCACCACGCATTTCCCGTTATAGACGACTCCCCTCTCACAGACTCGTCTGTTCTGTACGGTCTGATCCTCCGGTCGCACCTCCTCGTGCTCCTGAAGAGGAAGGCCTTCTCTGAAACCTGCTCCCCCACCGGCGCCACTGCCCTGAAAGACTTCTCGTCTGATGACTTTGCCAAGCGCGGCTCAGGTAGGTGTGACAGGATAGAAGACATCGAGCTGACTCCAGAAGAGATGGAGATGTTCATCGATCTTCATCCGTTTACCAACACCTCACCCTACACTGTTGTGGAGACCATGTCTTTGGCGAAGGCCCTCATCCTCTTCCGTCAGGTCGGCCTGAGGCATCTTCTGGTTGTGCCCAGGTCCTCCTCTGTAAGTAGCCCCCCCTCTCCGCTGCCTGCTCACACCATAGAAATTCAAAATCTGGATATTTCTTTCTTACTTTAGTAGTCTCGTTTTTGACTCGCAGAGATCACCGGTTGTGGGAATACTGACGAGGCATGATTTCATGCCCGAGCATATCTTGGGGCTGCACCCTTATCTGGCGAACAACAGCTGGAGGAGGCTGAGATTTAGACGCACACCCTTGGTCAAAGTGCTCAAGGATTGGCTGCTGGACTTCACCCGCCGGAGATGAATGAAAGCCCATCTGGGGATCTTGGTCGATCAGACTAAGGTCGGATGGGCCTTTCGTTTCTTGGCCATCTCTCCCCCTTCACCCTCCGGGGTGAAGTGAAGCCGCCATCTAGACTGACTCAAGTACTTTCTTCAGATCATGCACAACAGGTTCAGCGCAGGTCCATTTGTTCCCATCTCTCCTGTCGATCACATCAAGGAGCTATACTAGAATGATAGTAGGCCAGTCTGATTGCTTTTCTCCTGCTGCCTCGTGTATTATCCATGCTCATTCGTTTATTATTTTCCAAATTGGGAAGCAATAAAGTCAGCAGATTTTTCTTCGTGTGCACACGCTTCACATCGCTTCTTTCCGGGTGATTAATCATTTGTTCTTGTTCTCGAGCTCTTTGTACAGCGCAGGCACCGCCACCAGTCGATTATTTCTACGTTGTCTTTTTTTTCTAGATTCAAATCGGGCCCTGGGAAAGTTGGTCCTGATGACTCTAGCAAAGACGGTCTTTGCGAGGCCCTTATTGGGCCTAGTGATTTTGTTACCTAGTAAGGCGCTTCTTGGGCCAAGCTAGTGTCGTATCAGGCTCCAATCCACGAGGCCTGAGCCAGATCACCTTAGTGACAACTCTCTCTCTCTCTCTCAACTTCATAGGGGCATACAACGGACAATTCTGGCTTATATTTGCTGGGCTTATCTTGGGCTTCATTCGGGCCTAACCTTTTATTGAGCAAGAGAGAGAGAGAGAGAGAGAGAGAGAGAGAGAGAGAGAGAGATGATTGGAATGTAAGGCCTAATAATGAGCCAATCTCGTTGATATTGTCGATGAAAATAATTTAATTGATATGTATAATTTCAAGTAATTAACCTGCTATAAGAACTAATGAATGTCACGAATTTAATTACTTGCATCAGGTATCTATAATTTTTTATCAGTTAACTTAACTACGATATTTCAACATAATTTATTGTTTTTAACTTTTTTCTTTCAGCGGGTTGGATATTTGAAAGACCACGACTTTTCATTATCTTTACATCAAAAGAAAGGCGCAGTTTTTTGGGCTTTCTTGGGCCCGAACCGGGTCAGGCCCAGCCCCGCCCGTTGGGGCCCTTTTCTGGTGATGATCTACATGAGAGGGGAGGAAGACTCGAACTGACGAAATATACAGAAACCAGAGCGGCGAGAACCTCACGAGGAGGCCCTGAGCAGGAAGGAGGTCATGGCGGTGGAGACGGAGAGAAGCGGTTCCCGTAGATCGCCGCGCCGCGGCAGCCGGAGTTTCTTTCCGGCACCATCCTGGCCCTGTCTCCTCGTACTCCTCATCCTACTCGTAACTTCCGCACATGCGATCTCCCAGGCTGGGTGCGTACGACGTTTGTATTTAGGCCCTTTTTCACCCAATTTCATGTCCTAATTGATCCCGAACGCTCATTTACGGGTTCCCGCTTGTTTCTTGTTTGCAGGAATGGGGCTGGGTACTCCGTCGCTGGACGCATCAAATTTGATGGTACTCTCTCTCTGTCTCTCTCTGTCTCTCTCTGTCTGTCTGTCTCTCTCTCTCTCTCTCTCTCTCTCTCTCTCTCTCTCTATCTTCCGTCTCCATCTGCAATTAATATAAACTCGTTTGATTCTTAGATTTCCAATCGGTGGCCTGAAGGGCTTTATTTTGTTTCGTCAGGATAGATCATAGTGAGTTACGAGGGGAAATTTTTTCGATTGGTTCTGTGCCAATGGTCTGTCATGAGCTGACCTAATTCTAATATCATTGGCAGATCTCTTGTATTTGTGATAGCTGCGCTTCCAAAATCAGTAAAACGTTGCCAAAATAAAATTACAAATTCTTTCGGAAGACAAACTGTAAAACACGGGACATTTCGAAACAAAGGACGTTCCAAGACAGCATTAAGAGAAAATTATTAGATATTTCAGGAGGAACCATTAAAAATGGGAATATCAAAGAGATGGGAACACTCAGAAGAGCGACTCGATGGAAAAGGTTTCCCCAAAGGGGGACTAACTGAGTTTCCATGGAGCCAAGAGAAAGTAGGTGAGGTAACACCCGTCTTAGTCAGGTCGACCCCCGTCTTGACTAAATTATGAAGTCGCCATGTCTTCCAAACCCTCTATATTATTTCTCCAAAATCCACCCTGCATGCTAACCACTTGGAGGCTGTGATTGATGGTAATTTACCGAAGATTGATGTGCCATCATCAATAGGAGTATGAGCTGTCATCACTCCACATATATTCTCTGCTCTTTTACGTGAATTTCTCTCTTCCTTTGGCTGGCATCTGGTATAATGTTTCTCCACTGCAAGTACTCTATACAGGATCTAAAAGGAATGTCTATTTTTAAGGTAGGTTTGTAATGTGGAAAATCTTGAGTTCTCTGCCAGTACGAAAAAAATAAAAATGACAATTAAAATTTTGATATGTTTAAGATGCATCCTAATCTCTTATTGAGTCAACTCAAGCTCAATTAGGAGACAACTTATGTTCTCCCTTTTCTTGGGCCTTTTTGGTCCACTTGGATTGGGTTGGAAAGTGCTTGTACTCATGTATTTGATGTTGAATTTCATTTTGGCTCTGGTTGTGCGAATTAGGTGTTCAATACCTGTAAATTTTTAAAATAAAAATGCTACATCTTTGATCTCTTGGCTCACTTAACTTTATTCTTTTCTGGCCACTGCTAGTCCGCATGGTTGATGATGTGTTATCTAGTCCTTCAGATATATATATATATATATAGGCAAAGTTTTAGATCTAGATATGAAGCAGATCTGGCCTGCGTGAAATAGTTTTTCTGCCATTGTTGATACTTCATAACATGTTTAATTTTTTATTGTGATCATATTAAGGTCAATCATCTTCAGATGAGGCACTTCCTCTTTTATGAGAAATTCTTTGCTGCCTAGCATTGGATCCGGTGAATAGGTGACATATTTCTTCAAGTTTTTCTGCATAACCTTATAACTAGATTCATCACTAACAAGAAGACACATTATTTTATTAACTCACTTATTGCTTTGTGTCATCCATCAAACTGAATAAGTAGATTACATTCTTTGTTTTGGCAGCTTTTTCAGTGGAGTTGATTAAGTAACGTAATGCTAATACTTTAGATCAAAAAGTTGGTCAGTTCCTCCTGAGTTGCCTTCCATCTTCAGCCAATTCTTTTGTATGCTGTGTTAAATGGTTGTATTAAACTAAAACTTTTTTTATTGATCGTGTAACCAGATCCCATGTATTTCTTTGCATATGATTCTTTTGAAATTGTCTCCTGGTTCTACAACAGGATCCCACATAGTTTGATTCGTCAAGATAAAGCCAGGTTGGTTCCTGGCTCTGATGAGGACCATGCAACTCATTCTTCTTAAAGTGGGATATGACTCAGAGAGGGAAGGTTATCTCCTTCATATTGGAATCATAATGAGTTGCACTATGTGGGAGAGTACTGGACGAGGACAGCAGATTCTATGGCTCTAGGCCTAGCATTCATGTACACTTTGTTTGTAGTGCATTCTTGAATCAGACCTCTGCCATTTCTAGTGATGATTGATGGAGCTTTTGCGGCTTTGACATAGGGTACTGTGGAGACTGGAAAGCATTACAGTTGGGCTGAAACTAATCCCCTGATGTTGCCGTGCAGCAAGATAGCATCCTCTGTCATTTTAGTGCTGCCTCTTTCATTTGGACTCTCTGCTTAGTGTTGGATGTTCATGGGCTGAAAGATGACAAAGCGTGGACACTTTTATTTGACACCTTGTAGGAGGCAAGGAATTAAACTGATCAGATATTTGCACAGTAAATGTTATATTGTGGACACAGACTAGCTGTTGATAAGTGACATTGGGATGTGATTGAGTTCCTGAGTACTTGTTGATTGGTTAGAATATACCAATCTGATGGACCATTTATTTCATTTCAGGATGATAGGTAGCATTCTTTGAGGTCTCTACTACATAATTTTTTCCTTGTTGCTTTATATTTGATTTGCTCATCTAATCTACCACCTTTTGTATAGTATCTATTTTTCCACTTAAAGAAACTCTCCGACGGTGTCAAGTCATGATGATAGCATACGTTGAGTATTTCATACAGAAAACTTTTGTTGATGAGTGCTGGTGGGTGCAGAAAAAAAATCTAGGAAGAAGGTATCATCCTGCTCGAAAGACGTGAAGATATGAACTCAAGGAGCTTAAATTACACATCGTTAAAATCTATATATACATATTAAGGACAGGAAATCGAGAAATGAGCCAATGTGGTTGTCATGCTTCCCACTTTTATGAGTTCACAGGTTTGCCAAGGTTCTCAAAATGTCTGCCATCTAATGGCTCCTTTGAACTGAAATATTGTGGGCATACAGTAAAAGTGTGCTCTATTGGATGCTAATTGTCTTTAAAGTGTTGTCATCCGTGAATTCCTTGGCTCTAAGAACTGTCGGCTGCAGAGATGCTTTAGTCATCTTATCATTTCCTATTTTATGAACACTGCTTTTTTCCAGTATTTTAGTATGCTGTAACAACGTTTTAACGAACCCACAATTCTTGGCAGGCATCAGCTCCAAAGGTTCTGGACTTCACACCAAGAAGTCAAATGTGAAGATTATACTTAATGGAGGCCAAAGGGTTACTTTTGCTAGGCACAACGGATATTTTTCATTGTATCCTTTTCCCATCAACATTATATTTCTTTCTCTATCAAATCGTCAAGTGAAATTTTCCCTTGCTATCGTATCACCTATTGTGGTAAGCATGTCAAAAATATGGGTTTATGAGCCCGTACATGATAGCTAATTTCCAAAACTAGAAAAGAATATATGCTGTGGTTCCTTGATCAACGATTTTGAAGTCATAATGTGCCAGCTGGCACTCATCTGATTGAAGTGTCTGCAATGGGTTTTTTGTTCTCTCCGGTACGATGCTTCCCTTCCTCCCCGTAAAGCCTTCTAACTATCATAAAACCAGAATGCCACATCATCATATTTATCGTCATTCTTTCCTCAGGTACGTGTTGACATCAGTGCAAGAAACCCTGGTAAGATTCAGGCGGTGCTGACAGAGAATAGGAGGGCTCTTAGTGAATTGATACTAGAGCCACTGAGAGAAGAACAGTATTACGAGGTAAGTACAGCATAACTTCAACCATCCATTATCCATACTTTTGTGAAGTTTTGACTCTTCATGTTGTCTGTCTGCTGGTGATTTAGGTCAGGGAGCCATTTTCCATTATGTCGCTTGTGAAGAGCCCCATGGGCCTCATGATGGGCTTCATGCTGGTCGTCGTCTTTGTCATGCCTAAACTGGTGGAGAATATGGGTAAGTTTTCATGAGGCGTAATCCCTTCATTAAGTACTGAGTTTTTTGAAGTCGCCGGCCCTGAACACAATTTATAAACCCATGTAATCGTGTAATTAATTTTAAACTCGATGTCGAAATAATCTAGCAGAGTGTCGAAGCCAATTGTTGTTCTCGTGTTGTGTGTACCGTATGTTTATAGAAAGGCAGATTTATCATGAGAGAGTATGCCAGAATAGCATCATATTTGGGAAAAAAATAAATACAAAGCTGGGGCCACTCTACTGAATACCAGTTACTCCTGAGCCCAATAGCCTGAGAATTTAACACCGGCTGTTTATACTGAGGTTCATGTCGAGAGTTGGCCAATGGCTTACTTCTTCTGATCATTCAGTCTCCCTTCTGAACTAGTGAACTCTCTCTTCAGAATTATAGATATTGACAAGTTAGTAAAGATAATCTGAGAAAAAGAAAAAAAAGGTAAAGTCGTCTGGTTATTTAGATGGGGTTTCTCAACTCGATGCTAATTAGTTTTGAGCCAGGTGACCCAATAATTTCATAGAACAAAAACGGGTCGACGATATTGAGACCCAGATCCAGCGTTGGCTTATCTCTATTTTCCGTAGTTAAGTCGCCGTTCTAACTGGGGCCAGCCAGCAAGCCCTATTTTTAGTATATTGATGTGGACATTTTTTATTATTTTATCAGTTTACGAATGATAATCTGGCCGTAATTTTCACCAAAAATGGCAGTCGTGCTCGCCTTATCAATCCATCTCATATACCTAGTAGTGTGTTTTATTTTATTTCTTTCTGCTGGCAGATCCCGAGGAAATCCGCAGAGCTCAAGAAGAGATGAGAAGTCAAGGGGTTCCCTCCTTTTCGAACTTGCTGTCTGGACAGGCACAGCGGTAGCCGAATCTGACGGAGAAAATCTAGTTTTTTCGTCTTGTGGCGATTTATGCTGCTTCTTCCTTGCCTTCTCCCTCGCATTGCTATTGGAACCTGAGGGATGAATTATTTGCTTTTCTACTATTTGGAGGAGGCTGTCATTGTTTGATTATTAATGGTGGCCAGCCTTATGAATCTCAGAGGGCAGGGGGCGCCAGTACCCCGGGTAAGCTGTGTAAGAGAGAGAGGATAGGCACTGCCCAATCCCAATTCAGAGATGTTTCTGAGCTTTGATGCGGGTGATGTAATATGTAAGTTTGACCCACCCACCCTTATTTTTATTGTCATTTGAATATCAGACTATTACCTTTGTGATCATTTCTCTCTCTCTCTCTTTCTTCTCTCTCCCTCTCTGTCTGTCTCTCTCTCTCTCTCTCTCTCGGTACACATGTGGATGGCCGGAAAAAGAGTTTATTTCAGTTGGAGCAGGACTTTAATAAGGTTCAAGTTGCAATATGGGTCTAATTTTTTTTTGTTGGGTTTATAAATTTTGAGCCTTGTAGAGAAAGGGATTAGCAAGATTTGGCTCATTTAATTATGTGTTTTTATAGCAATGGAGAGAACGTTATGAGTTCACTTGTCTCTATCCCTCATTTTAATGGAATTTGAGAGGAAAATGTTGGCTTTTTGTTTGGAAAAAAAAAGGTTTGGCAGAAGAACGCTAATTATTTCTCAGCTTTTTATGATAATCGCCCGTTGAGGAATGCCATGGTAGTCTTAAAAGCCCCAGCTTCGAGGACACCCGGGGGTGACGTCATTAAAAGACGTTCGCAAATATCTATTGAACAACAAAACTCTTAAATATATGAATATTTTAAAACGACAACCTATGAATACAAATCAGGGATAAACGGAATACTTATGGTTTTCGGAAAATATTTTTATCCCTGCTGATTTATGAAAATACGTAAAATTAATTATCTGTAATCTCAATTGCCTTTATCATTGCTGAGGGATTCTACCCACAAACACGTCCTGTGGAAAGACGGAAGGGCCTCATTGACATTTCGTAACTGGAATCGAAAAAATATCACAGGAGATCTCACATTTCCTGATTCATTCCTATTGTAGAAAGGGAATGTATTATCCGAACGAGGAAACAGTACGCACTCTTTTCTGAGGGAGAGAAGAGCTTGATCCGCAGGGAGCCATCGGGCGGGGTGGCGGTGGCGCGGAGCAGAGAGCATGGCGACGGCGGCAGTGGGCACCGCCCCGTGGCGGCTGTGGTGCCACTTCTCATGCCCCGCCTTCTGCCGGAGCCGTCTCCCCTTCTCTCCCTTCCCCGCATCCCCGAGGAGACCGCACCAGCGGATCGCTATCAGAAAGAGAAAGCCACCGGAGGCTTCGCCATCTCCTTCTTCTTCCTCGTTTCGCCGCAGGACTGTGTGCTTCTTTTCTTCCGATGGGAATGGCAGCGGACCCTCCTCCGCTGCCGCTTCTCCTACCTCGGCCTCTGCTTCTACCAGTCCATCTGCGGAGGAATTGTATCTGTACAACACGATGACCAAGCAGAGGGAAGCATTCCGGCCGCGGGTTCCTGGAAAGGTGGGGATGTACGTATGTGGGGTCACTACCTACGACCTCAGCCACATTGGCCATGCGCGAGCCTACGTCACCTTCGATGTCCTTTACAGGTGGGATTGTTTGCTGTGGCCTTCGCCACTACTGAATTTCTCCTGGTCTCCATTTTTTAGCTCTCTCTCTCTCTCTCTCCCATTCCTATGCTTGTGAGTCTTACGTCCTTGCGCTGCTCCTTGCCCATTTTTCTCTCAATGGTGTAATCTTTCAAGATTTGGGATACTCTTCATCGAGCTCCCTCGTCTCAGATGGCTAAGTTGCCTGGCTTCCTCATCGGCTCCTTTTCTTTCTTCCCCTGGTTTTCTGTACATAGTTGCAAAATGATATCATGTGGTTCTTTTAGGACTTCCTGTATTTTTTGCAAGAAACTAATTTGAGTTTCTCTGCTGGTGTCGGACAAGTCTACCTAGAATTTTCGTACGAGGCCCTCACCGTCTCCTGGGAAAGCTGCCTGATACTTGATTCAATTCTAAATACATATTAAATAAGGCGGTAATTTAATATTCTTACAAAACCCATATTGGCGCTCCTTTAAATTCGATAGGAAAAAAGTTGGTTCCTCTTCGCCTTTTCATGACTATTTTGATCTAATTTGTTTTCAATTGATGGAAGTGTATTATGAAAAGAAACTAATTATGACCCACAAATATGCATATCGCTCTGATTCTATTTTCTGTCGATAGAAACAAATTCTGTCATTCAGATCCCAAGACAGAGAAAGGTGTGAGGGTAAGGATGAGATGCTTTAGGTGCAATGGATTTTGTCTGCCCCCCGCCTCTGAAAGCGTCCTTCCATAACATTGTCTGGTCCGGTTCTTTCTTTCTTGAATGTGGAATCGTTTTAGATCGTACCCGCCTCCACTCAAACCGAGCAAACTAAAGCGAGTGAGTTTACGAACGACGATTATTGAACGTTCTAAGTACATCCAGCAGGAATCGAACCTACTCAATTTGCCAGCCAATGTTGTAATCATTACTTTATTTTTGAAGGACTGAATTCCTGTCAAACAATGTTTTCTGATCCGCAGGTATCTGAGGCATTTGGGTTATGAGGTCTGCTATGTCCGTAACTTCACCGATGTTGATGACAAGGTCAGTTCCCCAATTTATGTTAATGTGATGACGGATGTGGCAGGTTGATTCTTTATGGCGAGAAATTTAGGTGATGGATCAGAGCTGCTTTTTCTCCTCTATTAATATTCGAATTGTAGAATCAATGTCAAAGGCCAATTCTTCTTGATTCGTGATACATGCCTCTTAATTAATCCTGATAGCTGTGCATTACTAATGACTACCATCCCTTCTACATGGCTGTTGCAATGTAATGGTATATATATGTGATTACTGGTGGTGATCATGCCATCCTCGTCATTGCTACATTGTAAGGTTATAGATATAATTGTTGTTGATGATCATCGCATCTTCATAATATCTTGATTTAATTAATGTGATTGATGTGCCCATGCTTCAAACACATTACCAGTGTTTACGCTACCATTTATGAAGGATTTTTCTCTCAATGATTAAATGAACTGCCCCTTTTAACATGTGAAGTGTATCTGATCAAGTTGAGTTATAGAGCATTCATTAACTGTCCAACCTAGAGGGAGAAAGCTGTTGCACACCTGCTTTTGGTTGGTAGGGGAATGCTCTAATGGGCTAAGATATCTCGCCACTTACCTTTCCTTTTCCTTTCCCCTTTGAATCACTTTCATCGTGGATGGATCATGGGAAAGATTAATTTTTGGTGTGGTTAATTCTGGATGACCAGAACTTAAACGGGAGTCTAATGGACCAATTATATCTTTATTGGAGGTAAACCTCAGAAGTAATTTTATGGTGAGTGAACGTGAGAAAAAAAGATACTGCAGGGGAATGCCATGTGGCCAACATGTGAGTGAGAGTGACATTTGCACATTTGCAAAGCTTACGTTTGAGGCACATTGAACTTCATTTTATTACCATGTTTTCAACTCAGATGCAATTTTTATGCACCATCCCATAATTACCACAGGAATTGCTTTACCAACCCTTTCTTCTTACATATGTATGACAGGACACCTGAGTTCTGTACTTTTGCAATTATGTAGATAATTGCTCGGGCTAATGACCTCGGGGAGGATCCTTTAACTCTGAGCAGCCGTTTCTGTGAAGAATTCCATGCTGACATGGCTCACCTTCAGTGCCTGCCTCCTTCTGTTGAACCAAAAGTATCCGAACATATAAACCAGATCATAGACATGATTAAGGAGGTTTGTTGTTTTCATCCTTTTCCCTTATGATCACGTTGTTGCCTGCTCTGCTGCCAACATCCGAATTGCTCATAGGCTGTTATCGTTTAGCGTTCTTCCATGCTGTAATAGATTATACTTAAGGTTATGCCTCCCGGTGGTGAATTATGATATGATTTTCGCTAGGGATGATGGTATTGAATAGTTATTATCTCAGTTGGTATCTTCCGTTATGTGTTTACATATTTTCTTCCCCTTATTATATTAAGCCTAATATAACTCCTTTTAAGGAAGATTGATGCCACGAGTTTTTAGTATTTTGAGTATTTTCTTATTTTTGGTAATAACTTCTCATACTAATGGTTTAATCCATCATATTTTTCGGATATTGTAGTCTGCTAATTTGTTCGTTAATAACTTAACATTAGCAGTCATTGATGTACCATCTATGAATTGAATTTGCCTGCTCTGACAGCCGTTTTGGAGGCATAATTATTTGCGTAATAACTTTTGTTTTCATTTTCTGAATTGATAGGAAATAAGTGTGTATCGGATTGGCTGGCCCCTGAAATTCGCTCAAGCTACATTGTAGCTTATTTTGGATTTTTTTTAATCTTTGATTTGAATTAAAATGTATGATAATTTGGTGAAACATGTTGGAGATTTTTTTCTGTTGATTATAAATTAGCAGCATAATATTCGCATCAAATTTCGAGGGAATATTTCAACTCCTGGTGCACACTTGTTCTTCCAACTATCAAACGCTAAGTGTGCATTAGTGGTTTGAATAAAATTCACATGGAGAAAGATTCTAACTTGATTCTGTATTTTTTGTATGACCTCGGATTTTAGTTCAACTATGTTATACTTTGGTTAAGCATGTTATGGAACTTTTTTCCTCGTCAATTACAAAATTAGGAGCAAAAAAATTTGGATCAAATTTTGGTAGAATCACTGTCTTGCTGGGCTGCTCACCCATACTGATCTGAATTCTGAGCAGATCTTTGACAATGGATACGCCTACATGATTGATGGCGATGTCTACTTCTCTGTGGACAAATTCCCTTCTTATGGGAAGCTCTCCGGCAGGAAACTAGAAGACAATCGTGCAGGGGAGCGAGTCTCCGTTGACTCCAGGAAACAAAATCCCGCTGACTTTGCCTTGTGGAAGGTAATTCCTAGCAGCAGTAGCCCTCCTCCTTCCCCATAATCCATTACCCACAGTTCATTCACCATGCTTCTCTTCTGGGTATGAATGGCAGTCGGCCAAGCCAGGGGAGCCCCAGTGGGAGAGCCCGTGGGGGCCCGGCCGGCCTGGATGGCACATCGAGTGCAGTGCGATGAGCAAAACCTACCTGGGCTACTCCTTTGACATCCATGGAGGGGGGATGGACCTCGTCTTCCCCCACCATGAGAATGAGATCGCCCAGAGCTGTGCTGCCTGCAGGAGCAGCCGCATAAATTATTGGGTCCACAATGGGTTTGTCACTGTGGACTCGGAGAAGATGTCCAAGTCCCTTGGGAATTTCTTCACAATCCGCCAGGTGGCGCCTTCTGTACCAACTCCCATTTCCCCTCATTTTTCTTCGATTGCGGTAATTCTCAACTCCCCTCCCATAATTAATTTATATCCAGGTCATTGATCTTTATCATCCGCTGGCCCTGAGGCTCTTCCTCCTTGGGACCCACTACCGGTCTCCGATCAACCACTCGGACTCGCATCTCGAGACCGCCTCCGACCGCCTCTTCTACATCTACCAGGTGGCTGAAGATGGCATTTCTCCTGTGCCGATGGAGGAGTGATTCCTTTCTCTGATGTTGATCTGTGGAATCTTCAGACCCTGGTTGACTGCGAGGAGTTCCTTGGCTGGCGTGCAGAGGGCAGTCTGAAGGATTCTCTGCCGGTGGGCACCCGGGACTGCATAAACAAGTTCCGTGCCGAGTTCAAGAACTCCATGGCCGACGATCTGCACACCCCTGTTCTCCTGGCTGCCCTCTCTGATCCTCTGAAGACGATCAACGACCTCCTGCATACCCGAAAGGTTGGTGCGGGTTCCCCTGGTTTTGCTTCGACTTTAGTTATTTTATTTTATTATTATTTTAGGTCCTTGGGCATCCAATTCGCAGCCAGTTACTGATGATTGGATCAGAACCCCTTACATAATGACGGGTTATATATATATTATCAATTTGGGCGTAGTTCAAGCTGTGTCCCAAACATGTGTGAGGCTAATTTATGCAATCATTAGTAAATAGTGAATCTAGGAAATCGCTTGCCAGTATACTTGTTTTTACCAAGGTGGGACTAATCTAAGATGCTAGATCACATACATGAGCCTACTTTTGGGTGTATTCACAATTCAGGAATAGCCATTGACTTTAGTGATTCTACTGTCAGTGCATCTTTTTTGTTTAAGTTATTTTTCAACGTGGGATCATTTATTTGACACATCTCTCAGGGGAGGAAGCAAGAGCTGCGAGCTGAGTCCCTTGTGGCGCTGGAAAGGGAGATCAGGAAGGCTTTGACCGTCCTGGGGCTGATGCCTTCGAGTTACTCCGAGGTGCAAGTTCAGCTCCTGCTATTTTTGGAAAATGGGTTCTTCATCTTTAGGCTGTATGGTTGACTGTCCGCATCTGTGTCAGGTCCTACTAGAGCTCAGAGACAAGGCCTTAAGGAGGGCCGGGTTGACCGAGGAGCAGGTGCTGCAGAAGATCGTGGACAGGACCTCGGCCAGGAAGAACCAGCAGTACGAGACGTCCGATGAGATCAGGAAGGAGCTGGCCGCTGTGGGGATCGCCCTCATGGACGCTCCTGATGGAACCACGTGGCGCCCTGGGATTCCCCTGCGCCTGGAGGAGCATGTGGCTCCTCCTGCTTGAGTTGTCTCGGGAAAAAGGAGGCCTTTTTTCCAAGGTTATGAACTGTTAATTTGTTCATTAAAATCCTTCGGAAGGCGTCGTTCCTTGGTTTTTGGTCTACTTCAATTGTTAATTATATAGATCATAAATCCCCCTCCCCCCTCCCTTAAAATTTTTTAATTAAAAATTCCTATTTTCTCTGTTTCTTTCCAGGATAACCCTTCTTTGCGTGCACGCAGCGAAAGAGAGAGAGAGAGAGAGAGGAATTGTGTCCAAAAACAGATCTGAAGCTCAGCGCCGGAAAAAATCTGTGGTTCGTCTGGGGTTCCCCGGATAGGAAGCTTTTCCGAGGAGTCCTTTCCGTGTGGTACACTAATGAAGGGACGTTTCTATTAATATTTTATGTTTAAAATAATATTTGGTAATTCGTTACACTAATTATGCCATTCTGTGAAAAAAAATTTAAATGAAAGTAAAATAGGCCGAGTAACTTTGAGCCCTGGCCCGTCGGCAAGCTTCTGATGAAATTACTCTCTCTCGATCTCCCTTGGGCTCTGGAGTGTCTCTCAGTGTCTCTCTGTATATTATTATGCCCCTTATATAAAGTTTCGTTGTTACGATTTATGACGTATGCCGATGACGTGTACTGTTGACCCTAGACACGGAACAACTACGGACTTTTCTAAAAGGGAGATATTTATCTCCTGCTAGTGCGGTCCGTTGCTCCCTCGACACGCGTATGATAACCGCAATCTTCTGTTCGGAAGGTGGACCCTGACGTAAAGAGGCGTCCTGGAACGTGTTGGGTTCTGTCATATTTCGCGAGTTGCCTGTTTGGATCACGTTAAGAAACAAATACCCGGGGAAGGACAATAGAACGGCATTATCCGAAGCGTTGCCGCCACGGATGATGGATAAAGTTGAAGGGGGCGGGGTTACGTGGGGCCCGCATAAAAGAAGAGTTTGCTCATTTCGGAGGCTGTACGCTTCGTGACACGTGTCACGCAGTCGTTACTCTGGGCCCCACTTCTTCAGCGCAACGGCAACTCCGAAACCCACTCCAGTTGGGCTCTCTCTCTAGCACCCACCCCCTTCTTCATCACTCTTCTGTTCTCTCTCTATTTTTCGCTGTGTCGCTCTCAATCGATCATTGAGAGAGGGGACAAGACTGCGGCGACCGAGGCTTCTCGTTGAGCGTCTGTGCCTTCCTTCACTCGGACGAGGTTCGTGAGGCAGTAGGTGGTGGCTGGAAGGAGGGGGAGTCTTCGGTGGAAAGGAGGCGGGGTCATGCCGTGGTGAGATGAGGTTTTCGTGCTGTAGCCATGATTTTGCAGGGGTTTCGGTGTTTGTTTCCTGGTTGATCGGGGCTGTTTGCGTGGTTGTTTGGAATTTTTATTCTGCGTGCAGTTTGGAGCTTGAGGCAATAAAAATTATTTTAAATTTTTGTGATTTTTTTCATTGCTTTTCTTTCGTTATTAAAGGGATCGTGAAAGGGGCAGTAGAAACGATCTCCAGGTTTCTCTCATCCAGTATCACTGTGCGCACCAGCTTCTCTTTTTTAGGAGGCCTTTCTTCTCGTCTCCTTGTTTCATTCTCTTGCTGTTTTAGAATTTCGATCAGGAAATTGTTCGAAAAACTTGTTTCCTTGGTATTAGTGGCCTCTGATTCTGAATCCCGTCCTGGGATTTTCTCTTGTTTATCTTTCCGTAGCAGGCTTACTCTGTCGTACTTTTACTGTTTTTACCGCTTTTTGGGGTGTATTGGTGGAGTCTCGGGCTTCATTATTTATCTCCGCCATTTTCCGTTTGGATACAGTAATCTCTCATTGTTTCCCTCCTTATGCCTCTGGGATAATCGCCGCACATGTCCTGCATGTCTATGAGATCTCTTCTATTTCTGAGGTTTGTTCTTGCTTTCGGAAACACGATTGGTAACGTGGTTTCATCATCACAGATTGGATTATACACCACCGTGGTGTACATGCCAATCAAAGGGTTCATCGCCTGCATGAAGAACAGGGAAAACGGTTCGTTTCCAACATTTACGTGACATTATAGACATTGTTTGGAGTATCCGAGTCTCAATGGGGGCAGCATGCTCAAGGAAGAGAGAAAGCCAAATCGATGGGGATGGTCTGAGAAGAGCGGTGTCAAAAAAGTATGGGAAGAGTGCCAGTTGGAAATGGCTGCTGTATCCAAGTCCTCACTCTTCCTCAGTTGTATCAAAGGGGGAAGGCAACCGAAGTCCGTCCCTAATGGAATTGTGCGCTCGTAGAATTCGTGAGGTCCGTTTCACCCAACTTTTTTGGATTTTTTTTCCTTTCTGTAATGCAGATCACGGATGATTTTCTTCTCACCTTGTCTGATGTGACATTGGGTCTGCATTTTTTTCATTGTTACTAGGATATCAAGATGTATAGAAGTTTTTCAATGCTGCCTAGGGATATCAGCCAGCAGATATTCAATGAATTAGTGGAGTCTCACTGCCTTATGGAGTCCTCTCTTGAAGCATTTCGAGATTGTGCGCTCCAGGTAATATTTTCGTTATCCTTTCCTGGTTGATTCAGCCTAAAGTTATTATCCTGGGGATTTTGTTGTGGAGACCTGATCATCATTATGCTCCATCATACGATTCTGCTTTTGTTTCAAAATATTCATGGTAGCATAATGTCATCATTATTTAATGGAAAAATTACCATAAATTATACGGTTTTGCTTTTCTTTAAAAATAATTTAACATTATGGTAAATTATTTTTATAATTTACCATAATGGCCTGAGAAGCTATTGTGCCCCATTGTTCCTGAGATTAACTCTTTTTTAAAGAAAATGAAGGGTTTCTTACAGTGATTCTCCGTTCTTTCTGATATTTGATTTTCTTTCCAATGGTAGAATCTCGGTCAATTTTATGACACTCGCAATAATTAATTTGAAAGATACAGCCTTCTTCTTTGTAATGAAGAAGAAAAAAGAAAAAGGATCAATAACTGACTACCTACGTATTCTGCTCTCTGAAATTTTTTCTTTCTCTGCACATAATCCACTGTCATGGATCTGTATGTTATGAATGATTGAACTTCAATAGATTACTAACATCTGTAGTAGGTTACAATTTTTTTATGGAGAAGTTGCTGATAAGTTATATTTTCCAACAACTCTAGGGCCTTGTTTGTATTGGTACAGGATACTGGACGAAATATACTAGATTCTTATATATTTTTTCCAGGATATTCATTTGGGAGAATGCATTGGAGTGAAGGACAGCTGGATGGACTGTATTTCCTCACAGGGAGGATCATTGTTGTCTCTTGATATTTCGTGTTCAGATGTAACAGACATTGGACTGCATCTTCTCAGAGCCTGTACAGGGCTTCAAATGTTATCATTTGACTCTTGTGAACAAATTTCAGACAAGGGAATTCTACTCTTATCCGGTACTCTCCATCTCGTCAATTTTTGCTGCACATTTTAATAATTTTTATTTCTCCGAAAATTTTATTTTCTTCAGTTTCAAAATGGAAAGACTGATTAACCGAAATATTGATAGATTATAGTCAACTGCTGCTAAATAGAATTCTTGAAATTTTTTTCCAGGTCTGTCAAATTTGACATGTTTGAGTTTAAAAAGAAACAATGGTATCACAGCAGAAGGAATGAAAACATTTACAAACCTTGTTAACTTGGAAAATTTGGACCTTGAAAGGTGTTCAAGGATTCATGGTGGACTTATTCACTTAAAAGGTTCATATTTGACCTATTGCAGTTGATATTTTCAAATTTTTATCTTGGGTCTATTTCTTGATTGCACCCATTTTGTGGTCTGTAGATTTTATTAGACGATTACTTGGATTTGATTATTCCAAATTTTGAACTATACGTTTTTTTGTGAACCGTGTCATACTTGAGTAAATACTTAATCCAAATACTTGAGTAAAAAAAATTCTCTATATGGTAATACTGATTGGTGAAAGTAAAAATGTATGTTTTTGGACATGCATGAGACAGGCACTTATGCATTATAGGGAAATCAGTCTCACTCATAAGGTATAACTTGAGCGAAGAAAACTCTTGTTAGCTGCTTTGTATGCTTTAAAGGGCGTGGAATTGCATTTAATCTTTAGAATGAAGTCGTGGCTGATCGATTTTTCAGCATGTGGAATGTAAAAGTCATCATATTTTCGAATATGATGAAAATTGAGTTTTTGGTCATGTTTTGACATCTTTGTTTGGCAGTTTATTTAAGATAAAAGACAAATATTGTGGTGCATCTGTTTTTTGGTTGGTAACAACGTTATATTCACTAATAGTTTCTTTTCTTGACAGGCTTAACGAAGCTTGCATCTCTCAACATTAAATGTTGTAACCGTATATCAGATGTAGACATGAAAGTTCTCTCAGGTAGTTTCTATGTAGACTCTTTATGGAATATGCCAGATTTGTCTTTGATATGATTAACTTTATTTAGGATTTTAAAAAATTCCGTGTTTGATGATACATGCTGTGGAACATGCAGTTGTTTTAATGAATTTTCATCCATAAAAATGTGTTCTTGCAATGGATCTTATATTCCTGTCATGCAATCCTTCTGCTACCTTGGAACTAAGAAAAATCCATTCCTTTCCTGATTCCATCTTTGGTCATCACAAAAAGAATTCTGTGTTTCTTTTGTAAGATGATGGTTAACTATTTTAACTTACTTGTAGGACTCACCAACTTAAAAGAGTTGCACTTATCATTTAACAAGGTTACAGATGATGGTGTTGCGCATCTCAAAGGTACTTATTAACTCTTTGACATCTGTTTATTACTTTTTGACCTGTTCTCATGAATGTAATATTGTTTTAGTACTCCATTTCGAAAGCTTTTATATAATTTCTATGTAGTCATTCGAATTCACCATGTTCATGCATGTTTGCTCGGCTTGGTGTCTCATTGTAGGTTTGTCTAAGCTTACACTACTTAATTTGGAGGGGTGTCCTGTTACTGCTGCCTGTTTAGAGTCAATTGCAGGTTTTGAACTTATTTTTACCCTTTTTCTTATATTGTTTCATTTATGCTTATTTTTTGAAGTTAATAACACAAAATGCTATGGGATGATAAGATTTCATGTCACACAAATTTAACTATCGATTTTATGACATTATTCTCAATTTTTCTTATCATCACTGATTTGGTGTTTCTTTTCAGTTTAATTCTGGGACCGTCGTGACCCATAAGCAAATCGAAATATTTGAGCATCCTTTTTTTTCTTATTTTATATGAAAAGTGGCCCATTTAAATTGATTCTCATTTGTTCGTTGTATGCTGATTAATTTATATTCCTCTTGCTGATATTTTACAATGTTCGTATATTTCACATTTTCTATTTTGGTGTGTTGTGTATCAACAAAGAATTTATGATCCCCCCATGACCATATTCTCCATATTTCTTACATCGTGTTGACACTCATTTCAAAATTTGCCAACTACAAGCCTGCCAAGAACTTTTGTCTTTTTAGATTTAACTCTCTGAGTGGTGTTTCTGATAACGTCCAATTTCATTAATAAACGCACACATTCCATACAAAGATTCACATGCCATTTGATGTACTTATTCCACCTAGGTGATCATTTCAGAGGGATCATTCCCGAGAGTATGATTGCTGTCTTTTTTGCTCAGTTGCTGATATTTATAATTTAAGTGGCTTGTCTGCAATGTAGAGTAGTTTTCACACATCTTCCTCTGTATTCAAAATGGGGTAAATATTACCTGTTCCCTTTTAGTGTTTTTTTTTTTTTTTTTTTTTTGTCGAAGAGAAAAAATACACCAGTGATTGATTGAGGGGCTAGTGGCAAATACAAGTTGTTGATGGTCTCAGTTTCGTGCTCTGCTCGTTTTTTGGTCAGATGATTGCTTAGAAGCTTCTTTTCGTCCTTGTCAAGTGAGGCAGGAGTTGGTCTGCTAGACTATTTAACAGTAATTAAAACACTGCATTCTGATATTATTGTACTTTTACCATGGCTTTTACTTCCCAAATCTATTGTGGTATCCTCCCGTGTGCTTTTTCCTTTTGACATCATATATGAATTCTGTATTGACGCTGGTTGTGATCTGATGGATATTCTTGCGATCGTTTGTTGTTTGTTGTCATGGGCTTCTACCTTTTGAACAATTTAGTTAAAATTTTCCTTCAGTTAGGCAGTCATAGGCTAGGAAACGCTAGCTTTTCCTTCTTTTATTCAGTGCGTATTACATTTTAGCTTAAATATGCTGTTAGTTTTCTCACAGGTCCGTTTCTTGGATCCTTAGTCTGTGTTTTTCTCTTTAACAGCTGAAAACCCATTTTGCTTGTTGGCATATGCAGGGCTTCTTGCACTCTCTTATCTAAACCTCTGTCGTTGTGTGATATCTGATGATGGCTGTGAGAATTTAGCTAGTGAGTTTCGATTTCGTCAAACTTAAACTCATTTTGATTGTAATTTACTCTTTTTTAGAGGAAAAGTCAGGTATGAGATTGGTCAAAGAAAGATTTATTTAGGATATTTTCTTCTAAAAATCAGGGTAATTTATACATTTTGTGATAGTTTTTTCTACTATAATTTATTTCTAAATGATTATATTTTCATCCGAAACTTACATTTAAATTTTGTATCGCAGAGCTGGTAAAATTGAAAACCTTAAATTTGGGATTCAACAATATCACGGATAAATGCCTAGCATATCTAAAAGGTAACTTGTGTGATCAACTTTGACGCTTTTTGGTTTCAATGGACGTCTACATAAACAGTATCACTCCTATTGAAACTTGAAATGAGCACTTTTAAGTGGGGATATGGACCCAAAAGTTAAGGACATGAGAATTTCGTTTAGAGTGAATGATTCATCATTTAATATTGTGCTTACTCTTAGAGCTTCCTTTTTCCAAAATTCAGAAAGCCAACTTAACAAGATTCATAAAGGACTGAGTCTGTTGAGAAGATGAGATTATTGTGGACTGAATCTGTTGTCAACAAAATTGGATTAACAAAGAAAAGATTGTGATTCCTACTCCAGTTCACTAATGAAAGAATTTCCATGATTTTAATATTTGAACTTCGTTTATCTAATTGAGTTTCCAAGTCATTTACTGCTGCTCTAACTATACTTTTTGGGGTCCAGCAACTAATTGTCTAGGAAGAAACCATATTTTGGCTGTTCAATGCACTGCGTTTGGTTCTTTTGTTCATAAGAAGTGTGATGACTTTTATTCTACTGGTTCTCAACCTTTGCTCGTTTCAGGCCTAGTACTTTTGGAGAGTTTGATCTTGGATTCTTGCCAGGTTGGCGATGAGGGAATGGCTAACTTGAAAGGTTTGTCTTTGCCTTTGCAGTGATTTTTTTCCTTAATTTTGGTTCTATTTTCCACCATTTGTGTGCTTGAATGTACTCCTGAAGCTTAAATTGCAACTGCTGTAGACTAATGCATTGTGGTATCTTTAACATAAATAATTCCTTGAAATGGGGATTATTTACTAACTAATGCACTCTTGATTTTATATTTTTTTAATGAAAAGGTGGATGTAGCCAAATTTTTCTAGTAATTTGTTTAGTCATGGTCCAGAGGTGAGGAAGGAATTGGAAAATGATTCACTAAGGATGAACAGTTTCATGAAAAAAATAGAATAAGTTATGGTTAAAAATTAAGAATGACATACAATGAGGATTGTAATATTTTTACAGACACACCTTCAAAGGTATTTGAATTTCTTGTATTAAATGAGAAATCTGAAACTCTTTCGCTGATCAGCAATGGGAGAAACAGTATGCACCAGAAAGGGTAGAACTGCTAGCAAGTACATTGATGTGTTATTGGAGGGCTTACACTTTCTTATCTTATTCCTATGGTATTAAAATATCTATATATATGTATACAAGCGCAAGAGTCCAAGAAGAGAAAAAAGGGCAAACAGAAAACAAGGAAAAGCTGTATTATGGACGACATAAGATGAGAATTGTGATATTTTTATGGACATACCTTCAAAGGTATTTGAATTTCTTGTATTAAATGCTCAAATGAGAGATCTGGAACTCCTTTGCTGATTAGCAATGGGAGCAACCATATGCATCAGAAAGGCAATCGCTAGCAAGTACTTGATGTGTTATAAAGAAAGAGAATTGGAGAGCTTACACACTCTTGTCGTATTCCTATGATATTAACATATCTGTATATAACTATACAAGCGCAAGAGTCCAAAAAGAGAAAAAAGGGCAATTGGAAAACAAGGAAAAGCTGTACTTAGAGTTATGCGATCTCTCTCCTAATAGCCCTTTTTTCAATCCCTTTTCCTATGAGTGATCATGTAACAAGGAAAATTAAGAAACCACAAGTGATCATGTTCTAAGAATTTTCCTATGAGTTCGCTAATAGTTACACCATTGAAGAAATAATTGGAAAGGACAGCTATAGGAGAGGCACTGCTTTTAGTCGAAATATGTGCAATTTGCTCATGAAAGATAGGATTGCTGGTGATTTGAAGAGTTCAGCTTTCAGATTCGCCTGTAGTAACAATCAATGAAACCATGCCAGATTATCTCTACAGATGTATCAGCCACAGGACACTTGTTGGCCTCAACGATGAAATTGGAGATAACAGCCTGCCTCTTGTCCCTCTAGTAGACGAGGGAGGACCATATAAAGATGCAAAAGCCTATAGTAGTGCGATGATCGGATGGACCTTCGACCGAATCAGGATCCAAATAAGCACACAGCTCGAAAGTCACCAAGCAACATAAAAAGAAAGTGATGAAAGGTTGCACACGGATATCAAATAACGAGGAATATGTGCAGAAGTAAGACTAAGGTGAGAGGGTTGGCAAATTGGCTCAAGATATGCATAACAGGACTAGTGACGTACACAAAGGTGTCAACTAGTTAGTGATAGGATGAAAGAGCCACCAAAGGTACATCAGAGCGACAAAGCTTGAGGGGAAGCTCTATTGTAGAGTCATCTCTTGGAGTATTGGACAGAGCTCCGTACTGAAGAATGCCATCAATATGTTTGTTGAGAGAATAACTGACAACCAGTAGAAGAAGGAATCTCACATACTGAGGAAGTGGTGTAAAGGGTTCAAGGTTTGTCATCTCAAACTAGTGATGGAGAGATAAATGAGGTACTCTCATATATGGTAATTACTATGTCATAGATAGAGAGAAGAAGAATTGGATGACTGCGACAAGAAGCACTTGCAAAGAAGGGATAGCTGCATTTTTCAATCCCTTTTTTTATCTCCTTCGGGCAATTTTTTCCAAAAATGAAATAAAATATCATTCACATTTTCTGAAATATTGACATTATCCACTTCATATTTAGTAACCAATTATTCTTTTTCTTCACATGAAATAATTGGAAAATTTCTAGATTCTCTATGGTGGTTGTTTCTAGACATTTATTCTGCATTGCTGGATCTTAAATTATTATTCTTATGGTTTCTTTTTTGTCTGTTTGGTATGCATGTTCTCTACATAGGTCTGGTTCTCCTGAAAACTCTTGATTTGTCGGACACTGAGGTTGGAAGTGCTGGACTCAATCATCTCTCAGGTTTTGGATCACCTCCTTGATGGCATGGAATATTGCTTAGAGTAGTTATTTTATTTTTTTTCTTTTTCTTTTGTAAATTTTCCGGGTGTCTGGTTCGCTTCTATTTCCAGATTTGAGTTTATCTTAGTGAGATGATATTTTCATTGCCAAAACCAGGGTCCATTTCCCGATGGTCTTCTGAAAAATGAAATCATTCAATTCGTCCACACCATGTTTTCACCGCAGAACAAGCTTTTTTCCTTGGGCTTTTGTGGCTGACTGAACAAAACGAAGTGATTCCTGATCTGAGTGCATGTAATTTAATTCGAAAATGGTAGGATCGTGTAAATTAGGTGGAGACACCAGATCATTTCCAGTTTGCTTTCTTGCTGCGTACTGACCTAAAAGGAAATTCGAAACCCAGATAATTAGCTCGTCTTCTGTATAGATGGCATTGTATGCGGACACTATGAGACGTGACTAGTGGTACACTAGGATTTAACTCTTTACTGATGAACTATTTATTGGTACACTTGAAACATAACCCAAAAAATAGAAAGAGAAGTTGGGAGTAAATCCTACTGGGACGAGACCAAAAGTTAAAATGAGATCCCCATAAATTCACAAAGTAAAATTTCAATTTATTTATCAGAGTATGAGTCCCTTCTGAAGCCATAACGGATTTTCCATGATCCCACCCAACATAATGCATGAAAGGATCCTTGAAAAATTGGGTTTTCTGAAAATCATTATAAGTTACTCCAATATGTTTCATTTTTGAATAGCAGTGTGCTCGCTCAAAAAGGGTTCCAAAAGATGTTGATCGTAAATAAGAGGATGATTTTCGGAGGAAAACAAATATGGATTCGCATTCTACTATATAAGAACTTTATAGGAACCTATATAGTCTTGGATTGTATTTTGAAAAACAGTTGCTGATGTCATGCCTCAATCATTGACTAATGTCGTTAGTTTAATTTTTTTTTAGGTCTCTTCCACCTGGAGAGCCTCAATCTCGGGTTTACGCTTGTCACTGATGGTGGTCTGAGAAAGTTATCTGGACTTACGTCTCTTAAATCCCTGAATCTCGATGTTCGTCAAGTTACTGATGCAGGAGTCTCGTCTCTTACCAGTATGCACCACTGCTTGCCCTTCATATGCGTATGCTTGTGTGTGTGTGTGTGTGTGCATTTTTACTAATTCCGAAGAGAATATTTTTTCCTCTTTTCAGAAAAATAAATGATGTGTCATGTTAAATATCTACCAGCTTTCGCTTGTTCCTCCAAAATGTGTGCATTCGAAGACCCTCTAATTTGTGCCAATAGAACATCAACTTCGACTTGGTTTACGCCATTGTAAAATTTTATAAATAGCATTTTAGATCCAACCATGTCTTGAATGCCCGCACTTTCTTCAGATCTTCACGTATGCTTTTATGATGACTTGTAAGAAAGCTGTTGACCCACCCACAATCCTGCAGGTCTTACTGGGTTGACGCATCTCGATCTCTTTGGTGCTCGGGTCACTGACCTTGGAATGAGTTATTTACGACGTGAGTGGAAGAACCTTTTCTTCTTGCCTTTAAAATCCTGCAAATCAGTCGATAGTCTGATCATCAAAATATTTCTGTCTGTGCTTTCTGCTTCATGTCAGGATGTCGAGCACTTCATTTTTTATTTTTTATTTTTTTCTGCGCGGCCTTTTATAATCCTGTTCCTCTTGTTTTGAATATAATATCCGCCTGAAATAAATCAGAAAAATTGTGCACATATTTATACATGCATATGACATATGGAGATTGATAATTTCGGTGGAACCTTCATTCATCGATTGCGAGCAGAGTTGAAGGATCTGCAGTCCCTCGAGATCTGTGGAGGACTGATCACCGATGCTGGTGTGAAGAACATCCAGGACCTCTCATCGTTGACCCACCTGAACTTGTCGCAGAATTCTGGGTTGACCGACAGGACTCTGCAGCTCATCTCAGGTACACGACTGACCACTCACCTTCCCTCCTCCCCCGTCCTCTCCTTTCTCTCTCATCCCTTTGTCAACGACGCCCAGGTTTGACCGGCCTGGTCTCCCTGAACCTGTCCGGGACCCGTATCAGCAATTCTGGGCTTGGGCACTTGAGGCCTCTGAAGCTCCTTCGGTCGCTGCATCTCGACTCCTGCCGGGTGACCGTCCCCGAGATGAAGAAGCTCCAACTGTCCGCCCTCCCCAACCTCGTCAGCATCCGGCCGGAGTAGACCCACAGGTGGGCTCCAATTCCCCGTGTGAACAACCTACATTCTCTCTCTCTCTCTCTCTCTCTCTCTCTCTCCCTCCCTCTCTCTCCCTCTTCCCAAGTAATTGTTGCCATGGGTGAGCAGCGAGGAGAAAGCTCTTAGAAGAATAAATCTGTACAGGGGATGGGTCAGTGTCTATTTGTACATATATAAATCTCTATATATGTGTATGTATATATATATATATATATATATATCTCTGTAGCATCTATAGGGTTGTGGGAGAGTCAACTCATGTTTCTATTTGTGGTGCTGCATGAGAAGCATCTCTCGTTGGGTGAAATTGTAAAAATGCTTCCTCTGCCCGGTTATGAACTCCTGTTAATGTTTGTTTTCACATGTTATATGAGACTTCCCGTGTTAGTGCATCCTTTGCACTCCAAAAACGTAGTATGTATTTGTATCTTCTGAATTGCTAGAGGTGCTAATATAATTTATGATCCTTACGACTAGTTCGTCCATCATTCTCTCTCTCTCTCTCTCTCTCTCTCTCTCTCTCTCTCTCTCTCTCTCTCTCATCTGAATTGCTGAGAGGTCCTAAGAGAATTTATTATCCTTGCGACTAGTTGATGTCTCTCACTCTCTTATCTGAATTGCTAAGAGGTTCTAAGAGAATTGATCATCCTTACGACTAGTTCGTCTCTCTCTCTCACACACACACAGACACATATTTGAATGGTTGGGGAGGTCATAAGAGAATTCATTATCCTTGCGACTAATAGGTCCCTCCCTCCCTCTCTCTCTCTCTCTCTCTCTCTCTCTCACACACACACACACACATCTGAATTGCTGGGAGGTCTTAAGAGAATTTATTATCCTTGCGACTAGTTGATGTCTCTCACTCTCTAATCTGAATTGCTAAGAGGTTCTAAGAGAATTGATCATCCTTACGACTAGTTCGTCTATCTCTCTCTCACACACACACACATATTTGAATGGTTGGGGAGGTCATAAGAGAATTCATTATCCTTGCGACTAATAGGTCCCTCCCTCTCTCTCTCTCTCTCTCTCTCTCTCATCTGAATTGCTGAGAGGTCCATAGAGAATTTATTGTCCTTGCGACTAGTTGGTCCCTCTCTCTCTCTCATCTGAATTGCTGAGATGTACTAAGAGAATTTATCATTCTTACGACTAGTTCGTGTCTCACTCTCCCATCTGAATACCTGATCGGTATTAGTTGTCTCTCTCTCTCTCTTACACTTTCTTACTGCCTCTCAGCAATTCAGATGAGAGAGAGAGAGAGACGAACTATTCTTAATGATATCGAATTTTCTTGGTTTCTCTCAGCAATTCAGATGAGAGAGAGAGAGAGAGAGAGAGAGAGAGAGAGAGGTTTATTCAGTGTGTGGACATTACCCAAACGTTCTTTTGGCGGCCCTGACTGCCGCGTAGAAGAAGAGTCAAAGCGTGGGCCGCCTTCTTTGACTGCTGAATTGCATGTGCAAAAGTTATCAGGATTGCGTGTGAACATTGACTCAGAATTAGCCGACCTGTAGCACAAAAGTTTTCACGTGTTCGCTGCAGCGGCCATGCTCGAACTCCACGTGAATGAGGAACATCGCCTCGACCCTATAAAACCCACCCCGTCTTATCCTGCAGACCATCACCAACACCAACAATCCTGGGTGGGAGAGCACAAAAGAAAACCAATGGAGTCGTCGCTCCTCCACCTTCTTCTGCTCTCGTCCTTGCTTCTCGCCATCGTCTCTGCGGTGGCCGCGCAGGGGGCCGTGCTAGACTCCGACGGCGATGCGCTGCTCAGGGGGCGGCAATACTACGCGCGGTCCATTTACCGGGGGGGCCGCGGCGGAGGGTTGACGCTCGTCGCCGCCAACGAGTCCTGCCCCTCCCATGTGGCCCAGGCCAGCCCCGTCAACCCGAACGGCCTCGCTCTCGCCTTCTTCCCGGAGAACTTCACCGCTGGAACCATCTCCACGGGGAGAACGCTGTACATAAGGTTCGCGGCGGCCCCGCCGTGCTCGGGGGGGAGATCCGCCCTCTGGCAGGTGCGCCAGAGCAGTAGGTACTTGACGACGGGGGGATCGGAGTCGTCAGCAGTGGGCCCTCACAACAGCCGGTTCGCCATCTACAGAGACAACTCTGCCCGGGGCTATCAGATTCAGCTGTGCCCCTGCAGCGCAGGCGTGGCCCGGCCATCCTGCAGGCTAGGCTGCTTTGGGGCGTTGGGTGTGACGAGCGCAAGGCTTCTTAGCCTCAACGCTGGCAGCCGTCACATTGTGACCTTTGTGAAGGCAAAGTGAGAAGAAGCCCACGAATGTCCTCTCTTTCTCTTTCAGCTGAGAACTAGGAAAGCTATTTTCCTAGTTTTCAGATGATTATCTCTAACTCTGAACTTGGATCTCTGCAAATCCAAATTGCTTGTTCGTTTTGGCAAATTGGATCTCAGTTCCATGGTGAGAACGTTAATAAATCAGATTTCTCGTCTCAATATGATTAATAAATTAGGTGTGGTGAAGGGTTTTTCTCACGTTGTACGATGATCGAGTGCCTAACCTTAAAATGGCAACTTGATTTAGTATTTTTTTCTCAGAGCTTTAAAATCAATATTCTTTTAAATGTTCAGTTTGGTGCGTAGAGCTATTTTCTTATGCATATGAAGCTTCCGCAGATGACATGGATCATAAAAAAGACCAAAGAAGGTTCACGAAGTACAATTTAACTGCTACCTGATGGAAATAAATATATCATGGACGGGGTTGGTGAGGAGGCTATTAAAGAAGGGTGAGGGTGGGTATCCAGCAAGAGTTGGAACACTGCTCTACGGGAGATATTCTACTCTTGCTTGGGGAAAAATGATCCAAAAGCTCCGTTTTATCGAAAACTCATGAGCCGAATCATAGACTAAATGTGTGATTGATTATTTTGCCAACTCGGGACCATATCTTTGTAGTTTCGCCATTCACTAAATTAGACACTAGATCATGATAATGTCTCTTAGGTCATAGAATCTTGTGCCGTCAATCATGTTAGTGGTATTCGTATCTTGTGCCATATTTGTGTCTTCTTCTAAGTTTGAAGATTTTGCCATTTCAATAATTTAATCCACATAGTATCTTAGGAAACCTATCTAACATTATTTCACAATAATAAACACTACAAAATAGGATTACAAAATAATAAGATATTTCTCATGATTTGATTCAACTGATACCCATTTAACAATATATTTATCCATTCATTTGAAGATTATTCTTCAGCTTTTTTTTTTTATGCTCAAGAATTATTTTGTAAAGAATCACTTCATTTCATATATTAATACCTTAAATGTTATCAATAATAGTAGGATAATAAAAAAAAGAAGATAATTTGTGTATCAACTATGTTGAATTTATTAAACATTTGAAAAAAATTAATGATATATACTAACTATCAAGATTAAATAATCAATTATTGACAATTTTCACATTTAATTATCATAACCAATGCCATCAAGAAATATGTTATTACATAGTGATTAATCCGTTAACATATATATCTAAATGTATTTTTTCTAACATATCAAATTACAATTCAATATAATTTGAACTAGTTTCAATTAGCCTTGGTATTTGTACAATAATATGCTACTAAAAATAAAGATTGGTCAGTCGAATAATTAATCATCAAATTATAAATAAACTTTGCTTGAGCCAAAGTACAATTCTATTATTTTAACTTTTCTCTCTAAATACAAAAAATCAAATTATCAATAGTTTTTATTATAACTTTTATGTAATCATCTGTTTGTGGTTAACAAATACTACTAAATGTTGAGAATGTGTCAATCTTTTTAGAAAGAGTTTGTCAAAAGTGAGATATTAACTTAGAATTTCTATGAGATGTAATTGATTTAGAAATTCTATGTAGATGAACAATTTCTTTGAAGAAGTAATTTACTTTCTAACTTACATCATTTGACATTTTTTCATGTAATGAAATGTGTTATTTTTAAAAACCTATCAATTACAATAAAAACTGAGTTAGCATCTGTTCGTGTTCATAGCATACCTAATATAAAGTTCATAGAAATATCAACCAATGGATGCTATAGAATCTGCAAGAGATATAATCCAGTGTTTTGACTCTGTATTTATGAACAAAAAAAATTCTATATATTTCTTTAGCATGATGTCCTACTAAGCCTAAAGAGTCTAATTCATGTAATAGTTTCTCTTAGAGAGCATAGGTTATGTTCTTCGAAATAAAAAGGTGTTAGTTGATAACCCAAACATATTCATATATTGTTAAGAAAAATCATCATCTTATAAATATAATTCCTTAAGATATTTAAATCCTATGATCTCAAAACATAGGTTCACCAAATAAATTATTTTTCTATTAAGAGCATCTACAACTCGATTAAATTGTTCAAACTATGTATAATAATGAAAGTAAAGCATTGAATTAAAGAGATTCATCTAACATACGTTATATTGATAGAAGACTACTTATTGACCGATTTAAGAGTTTAATGCTCTTTATATAAAATAAACTTATGTTGGACAAAGTAATGGTCTCATGTTTGTAAACCACAAACTACAACATAAAATTCTAATTTATATGTTGTCTATTTTTTTCTTATATCTAAATTTTTTTCACTAAAAAATGCTACTGGTCAACCTTCTGGTAAAAGTACATCTTCGATGCCAACTATTGATGTATTATATTTCACATCAGATAGTTATTAAAATTTAAAAGGGCTAAAATAAGAGCATAACGTAATAAAGACTTGTCTTGGTTTCAAAAGTATTCCACCAATCTCCTAGTTAAATTCAGATTTGATGATATCTGCTTTTTAAATTAACTTTTGAGAAAATTTTAGAACAACAAAGTATATCTAACATGTCATCTAGGCATGGAATTAGAAATCAATATATAACTATTTTCTTATTGATTGTTTATAGTCAACACATAATCATCAACTTTCATCTTTTTTTGAAATAAGTAAAGTAAGCATGGAGCATGGGTTTATAATTTCTTTTATTAATCATTTACTCAATAACTCTTATAATGTGATAGGTTAGGCAAGCTAACTTTAAACATGGTGGGAAGATGAATAGATACTTCTTGAATTATAGAAATTTTAGATAATAGACATTCAACAGCTTTTAGTATTTAAATTAGGCTTTTGAACAATCACAAATAATTTAATATTAATAAAAAACTCATTAAGAAACTCATTCTAGTTGATCACCCTTACTTTTCTTCTTTTCTTCTCCTTTGCTAAAGTTACCATCTTGCATTGGAGCCAAAATAATTTTTTTCCTCTTTTTATAAAAGACATAAGTATTTTCCGTACCACAGTGTGTAAGATCAACATCAAATTATCATGGTCAGCCTAATATCATGTGGCAAACATCCATCTTAGTGATGTCACACTGTACTTCATCAAAATAAATATTTTTAATAGAAAATTTGAACAAACGAGACTCAAAAACTCAAGTTTATGTTTCTTTATTAATCCAACCAATTCGGCATGGATGAGTGTGTGGGCTCACTTGTAAGCCCAAATTTCAAACCATAATTGAAGAACAAATATTCTCACTACTACTATTATCAATAGTCACATCACATATTTTAAAATTCACAATACCTTTGTTTTAAAGATGTTCTCTTTTTTTGGGTGCATATATCAATCTTCTCACTACGAGTGTGACAGTACATCTCAGTACCAAATTCAATAAAGTTTTCATCTACTTTATTTTCAATTCTCACTCTTCATATTCTACTTGCTCTTCAATTGAATTGACAATATTTATTGTGTCATATTTTAGATAAATACTTTATTTGTGTCTATTTTCTCCACACTTGTAACATTTAAGAATAACATTAAGGGTATAAGAATTTTGGTTATTAAAGACTTGAGCAGAAGTATCTGCTCTACTTGATCTAGTAAAAATCTGATTATATCATCCATTTTGTGGCATGAAAGAAACAATAACTAATCTTCCTCTATCTAGTTGAAGAGTTGACATCTGACTTCCATAACTTTGAACTCTATTTTTTCTTATCTGTAATATTTTTGCATGCTCTACAACCATTACAATATCATTAAGTTTAAAAAATGAATGAAACACTATTTTGTCTTCAATTTCTTATGTGAGGCAATCTTTAAATCTTGAGATCATATATGACTCAAACTCTATGAAATCAATTTAATATGATAAATAATAAAATTATTCAGCATAATTAAAAATAGATATATGGTTTTCAGCATAATCAAAAATAATTTTGATATTGTTGATATAAAATATATTAAAATCTAGGAGAAGAAAATGAGATTTTAAGAGTTTCTTCATTTTCTCCCATGATCATACAAGTTTTTTACTTCACCTATACATGTGGCCTATAATTCATCTCAACAAGTAAAAGCTCAACCTTTCAGTTTATAAAACAATAGCTTTACTTATTTTCTTTCATAAATTTCCATGTACTCAAAAATCATTATACTTCAGCTAATTAATCTATCAACTCTTCAATCTTCAAATTGCCATTAAAACATGGTAACTCAATCTTTATATGAAAATATTGACAAATATCTTCTTCACATCTTGATTTAGAACTTGTAGAACTAGAATTACAATGAGTAGATGGTTCTTTCAGTCATGAAAAATGATTCAACTAAAAACATAAATCTTTCAAATTACATGATATAGCCCAAGACTCAAGTTAAAGTCTTAATTTACAATTTAGGTCATAAAGTGAAGGGTGCTAAAAAGGAGCCTACATATGTCTTTTCAGATATGAAATTTTTTATTCTTTACTTTATGTTCTTTCACTTTGAGAAAATATTATCCTTTTCATCTAGAAATGTCTTTAATATCATTCAAAGTCTATACCTAAGGTCTATTAATAATCTTTGAATCTCAGTTCATAATTAGTTAGTGATGTGACTCGATCATTGTATAATAAATCATACAAATTTAAAATACTAATTATCAAATTTTTAAAAATATTTTAGAAAAATAAAATTATTTATCATTTGATAAATAGTGAAGAATTTTCAAATTAATCACAAGGATGTAAGATAATATCAAATAATATTTTACATTTTAAAAAAATATATAAATCTTCATCATTTTTAGACTAAATGATGAATATAAAATATATTTAAAGTTTTACAAAAAAAATATGATTTATCCAGAATTATGTAATAATTTTAGTAATGATACCCTGCGGATTACATCAATGAGATTTCTACTAATGATTCAGTGATTCTGGTAACTTAATCATTTAACAAAAATTGTAGAAAATTTATGATTTAATCAGATAAAAACTTGAATTTTGACTCTGGTACGATTTAAACCCTTATTGGTTGCCCGCTTGAATCAGAGAAATTATATAAGTATGGGAATATCCTTATAAACTGACATCTTTATCATATATCTTTTTGATAAATGATACAGCCCAAACTCTGAAGCCAACTACTAAAAAACTTGAAGCCCACTTTACTTAACTGGCCCAGTTACGAAATTAGGCCCATTCTCTATTTTTATTATTTTTTGAATTTCAATTGAAATTAAAATTTCATCTGAAATTTAAATTTTCGTTTGAAATTTGAATTTCATCTAAAATTCGAATTTTCGTTTAAAACACAAATTTTAAAAAAAAAATTGAAATTCAAATTTCATCCAAAATTCCAATTTTTCTTTGAAATTCAAATTTCATCCGAAATTCCATTTTATTTTTTTTAAATTCAAATTTCATGCGAAATTAAAATTTCAGTCAAAATTTGACTTTAAATTTAGATATCATTTGAAATTAGAGTTTGTTGATTTCAAGATTCATATAGAACAAGGACTTGAAGATTTGAATGACACTTTGAACCAAATCATAGCACCAATGTCTGCAATAGAATGTCAATCTCCAAGTCAAATTGGTCAAAAATAAAGTGATTTCTTCTTCTCAGAGAAAAACTTATTAAATGATACAGGAAGCTCAAAAAGTAGATCTAATTATGATGATTGCAAATATTTTTGAAAATAGAAGGATTTCTTCAAAACACAAGTTGAGAGATTTTTTGAATATATGAAGATTTCAAAACTAGAATTAGTTATCAATGAACTCAAAAGTGGAGCCTCGGCTTGCTGGGATCAACTGCAATCATCCGTGCAAGATGAGGAAGAGATCAAGTTCAAAGTTGGGGTAAGATGAATAAATTATTAAAATCTAAATTTCTTTCTCCTGATTATGAACGGGTTTTTATATCAGTAATATCAAAGTTGTAAACAGAGAAATAGATGTGTCACAAAATATGTTGAGAAAAGGTTACAAACTTTCTTCAAGAGTCGATTTGACTGAATCTGAAACTTATATGTTCTCTAGATTTAAAGTGGACTTGAACGGTGGGATATTAAAGAAAAGGTTTCTTTATTATCATTTTTCAAGTTAAGTGATACTATTATGGCATCAGAATGTGCTGAAGCTTTATTGGAGAAAGGAAAATCTAGAACTGAAAATTCTACTAATGTGTTAACATCTATAACATGTAATGAAACATTAGTAACCTCGAATTGCACCAAGACCAAGTGTGTTTTTAGTATGCAAACTTCTTCTCAAAGAAATTCATATGTACCTAACTCTGTTCCAAAACGTTCCAAAAGGTCACAAATCAAATGCTTGTCTTTAATGTGTGAATTTCACTGAGGCCATAAATGAAGATGACATTGAAGGTGCAGAAGATCAAGAAGAAATTCAAGAGAATGCTATTGAAGGCAAAGATGAAGAAGACCTTGGTCACTTTCCACTCAGTTTAAGGTTGATGTATGCACCAAATAAGGAAGAACCTCCCCAGTGTCATAATGTTTTCAGAACGAAATACACTATTGATGGGAAGGTATGTGATTTGATTATTGATTGTAACAGTAGTGAAAATATTATTTCTTCTTTGATGGTACAGAATTTGAAGCTGAAAACTAAAAAACATCCACATCCATATAGAATTGTGTGCATAAAAAAGAATTATGAAACCAAAGTTACAGACACTATTTTAATTAAGTTCTCAATGGGAAAAACTATTTTTTATGAAATTTACTATGACATTGTTGAGATGGATGCTTGTCATCTAATTTTAGATAGATCATGGGATTATGATTTAGATGCAACTCACTTAGACAGAGATAATCATTATATATTTTACAAAAATTGCGAGAAGTTTTTCTTACGACCAATAAAAGAAAATAAGTTTTTCAGTACAGTTAAAGAAAAGAAAATATAATGATTGATAAAAAAGAACTTTTTAATACTTTAAAATAAAACCCTGGAATATTTATGCTGGTTAAAAAAGAGAATAATGGTGTACTTTTTAAAGATTAATGACAATGCATACCTCATTGAGTTCCTACCAAATAGTACTATTTCACCTACATTAAATATATGTGACATATATGAGTACTACAATGATTTAAATGAAGACTCAAATATTAGTTTTCTTGAAAGAGGAGAGATTGATGTAGCCCAAGACACAAGTTGAAGTCTCAACATTGAATTTGGGTCCACATCCCTAATTTGGGCCATAAAGTTAAAACGTGGAAGAAAAAGAGCCCACATCCATCACTAGTGAGCCCACATAGTCAGATCTCTGACTATGAGAGTCTGTAGAGAAGATCTGTTCTGGATCTTTCACTATGTGTCTGGTTTAGGTCATGTATGAGTTAGTTACAGAATTTTGATAGAATTTCTCTAAGATGTCAGTGTTTCACAGTGTGTTTGAAGTTATTTCATAGTTACTCAGACTCTTTTTGGAGAGCGCCCAACCTAACCTATATAAAGCCCCCCACTGTAACATCAAGTGCTCACTTTGTTAGTTGAATCAGTTTTCTCCACTGTGAAAATATTTTCTTCTTGCTTGTGGATTCATGCACCTTATTGCAGATTCAAGGGTTTGAGACTCCAAATCTGTGGATTCAAAAGCAGGTATTTTCCCTATGATTAGAGCTTTGTAGATTAAGGCCCATATCTTCTTTATCTTTTGCGTAACTGTTGCGTCAGAATCCCAATGTACCATGCTCTATTCTGAAATGTTGGAGATGTAATCAGGAAGGTCAAAATCAAATGCTTGCCTATAATGTGGTTCTATGAAGAAGATGAAGTGAAGTGTGCAGAAGATCAAGAAATTCAACAGAATGTTATTGAAGACGAAGAAAAAGAAGACTTTGGTCACTCTTTAGTTGTTCAAAGGTTGATGTATGCACCATCAATTTGACAGTGCATCTCCAGTATGAAATTTAATTAAATTTTCTTCTACCTCACCTTCATATTTTGTTTCCTCATCAATAGAATCTGCAAGGTTTATGTGCCATTCATGTCAAATCTTCATCATATACTCAGTTTCATCTAGCTCTATATGTTCTAAATAGAGATTTGAAAAAGATAATTTTCGAAACTTTCGTATGAAAATTGACTTAGCATCTTTTAATAGGCATTCGAAGATTGAAGAGTTCTTAAATTGACTCATTAGAGTAAAAGAATTTTTTGAATAAATGAAAGTTTTTGACAAAAGTAAAGTTATTGGCTTATAAACTGAAGGGTTGAGCCTCTACAAGGCAAGTCAATTATAGACCAAACGTACCAGGTCAGACAAAGAATATTTACGATCATGAGAGAAAATGACAAAACTTTTAGGATCTCATTATCTTCCTCTAGATTATCAAAAAAAAAAATATCAACAGTACAAAAAAATTTAAGGTTGCCTTAGATGAAAAATTGAAGACAAATTAGTTTCATAGTCATTTTTCAGGCTTAATGATAGTAGAATAGGTGTTGAATGCGAGATGTACAACATCATGTTGCCCTTATACCAAAAGTAATGTCCTTATACCTTTCGTACTATAAAATGACTGAAACAGAAGAAATTTGCAGAAATGATAACTTAATCACGTTTCAGCTTTTGTTGTATATTCTGAAAGCAATGTCACGAGCTTGGATCTGAAATGAACTTGTCTTGGTTGTAAACTCCTTATCTTGAATCTACAGAAAGAAGAGATTCCGCCCCTTGAGTTTCACAAGGGTTGATCCTGAGTTTACAAGATTGAAAATGACTCCCTAAGTCCTCAGGGATACTGGAATCTACCAGTTGAAGGGTAGAACCTCCAAAAAGAAAAGGAATTCGAAAGGGGGACAACATTTGGAGATGAATATGATGCAACAATACTTCACATTCGACGTGTACTGTCACAAAAAGGTCAGCCAATAGTTTTTTCGGTGACAACATTTCTGAGGCAACAAAAAAAATGGACAACAGAATTTTTGCCATGATCTGTGTTTTACAAACATGAGAACACTATTTGATTCAACGAGACTTTATTTGTATACTGAAGATCAGACTCTTAAATGAGTAAATAGTCAAACTTCAATCAATAGAATTTTTGCTCGATGGATCTCTTTTATTCAATGCTCGATCCGTGTTTGTTGGTGCCCGAATCAAGACTCCATTACCCCTTTGGACTCTGGTAACCCTCTTCCTGATTCTGTGCATTCAGAACCACCCCCTTATGGACTCAAGGGACCAGTCTTCTTAAACCAGCGGATTCAGAACAAAGGGCCAGCAACTGGAGCAATAGGACCTGCCCTTCTCAGTTTCCACTATGTGGAGTGATATCAGAGCTAAGTCTGCATTCAACATTCAAATTTACATTAGTGATCATGAAATTTCTGAGGTATGTCCTTTTGAATATAAGAGTTTGTGGATTTCAAGACTCAGGGAAGAAAAATTTAACGATCTAAATGATATTTTGCAGCAAATAAATATGATACAGGAAGCTCAAAAGTAGATGTGATTATGATTATCATAAAGATTATAAAAGAAGATTAATTTGCCTAGTTTCGACAATAGAGGAAATTTTTGGTTGGATTTCAGAAGTTAAAAGATTTTTTTAATATATGAAGATTTTAGAGGAGAAACAGGTGAAAGTAATTGCTTATAAATACAAAGGATGAGCCGGTGCCTAGTAAGAGTAGCTACAGTCCACTCAAGCAAGACTAAAAAAGGATCAAGTTCGAAGTTGGTAATTTTATATGAAGAAAAGGTTTCTAAAGAAATAATTTTCTATCTCCCCTTCAAGGTTTGCTCCAAACTTGTAGCATTTAAGAATGACATTAGGAGTATAAGAATTTTTGTTAGTATGACTTTGGGCAGGATGATTTGCTCCACTTGATCTAACAGATTTTATTCACCCATTATATGGTGTCGAAGAAAACAACAGTAGATCTTCCTCTATCTGGCTGAAGAGTTGAATTCTGACTTCAAAACTTTGAAATTCTGATTTTTCGTTTCTCTAATAAGGCCTTAGCATTCTCTGAAGCCGATGCAATATCATTAGCGTGAAAAATAACTGTAAACTTACTTTGTCCTTAATTTTCCATCTGAGATCTCCTTTAAATCTTGAAATCAAATATGACTCGAATTCTCTCAAGTCAATCCGAGAAGATATAATTTTTTTTCATCCTTTGGGGTAAGAAAACTGATCTATTTCCCTCATGATCCTACAGACTGGGCAATTTGACTCAGGAAGAAAGCCAAAATAATAGGATTATGTTTTGGCACAAGTAGACTTGCATATAACACGATAATTAATCGTTCGACTAATTAATCTTTATTTTCGATGATAGATTATTTTCCTCTGAGAATTACATATAACTCAAAAATATCACAGTAAATTTCATTAAAATTAAATTTTCGCCTTAAATTTCATGTGAATGAGTAATTTAGTGTAAGTTGTGATTTGCTATTTGACTTCCACCATTTGTTTATTCATACAAATATATGCCCATAGATGTTAGGGAATCGACAATGAAGCAATGGGTATGTATTATGTTGTTGCTATCTGTTGCTGAAAATAATTCCAACAACCTGTGATATGTCATATATCCTTGAAAATTCACAAGATTGTTCTATTGATACTATCAGTTGTTCTAGCAGTGAAAAAATTACCTTTCTTCACTATACAAATTATTCATTATAATCCAACTATGAATATAGTCAATATGTTGTCATATAGACTTGGAAGGTATTGCTGATGATGTCGCCCAGAAACTGCTGTCAAATGAGAATTATAAAGTTTTTGACCCAAGTGGAGGAACTATTAACATCTGCGTCGAAAAGGTTAAAAAATGATAGAATGAAGTGCAATGATTTTTTAGACCAACTCAAATGAAACAGAAACTCAGGAAACATGAAGACTATCTTTTGCTCAAATTCAGTTTCAAATGGTCTACTAAGAGATCCGGTCACATGTTTAGTGAGCATAAATCTTACAATTTGCACATTTTATTCATGTAAAAAATCCGTCAATTCTGTTTAGGGCGTTTTTATTTCTTAGGGGCCTTCTAACATAACCCTTCTAAAATATCCGTCAGTTTTGCTCAATTCTGTTTTCCTCTTCGTATTTTATAAGATAATTTCCACTTATCGATTACTTATGACTAATTTTCAGCCTATAACTGTGTTCCTCGAAATAAAAAACCATCTTGTAGCTGAAAGCCTTTAGTCGTTATTCTTGATGTACATATCATATATTGTTGAGAAAAATCATCATCCTCTCATAACAGTTGAGAAATAAGAATGTTATTAAAATAAATAACAACAAATTTACCAATAAAAGATTTCCAAAGCTGATTCATCACTCTCATAACAGTACTGGGGGCATTCGATAAGCCGAAAGCCATGACCAACTATTCATGAACACCTAGCCGATTTTTGATTCGATGATATCCGCTCTCTAAATCAACTTTTGAGAAAATTTTAGAACCACAAAGAATATCTGACATGTCATCTAGGCGTGAAATTGGGAATCTGTAGTTAACCGTTCTCTTGTTCATAGCTATACTGTCGACACATATTCGCCAATTACCATCTTTCTTCGGAAGAAGTAAAGCATCAACATCAAGTAAATACGATGTTGAACATCTCGCATTGATTGAGATCAGGTTTTGGTATCACATCAGCTATTTCAAACTCCTTAAGAAATTCTTTCTGGTTGAGATCATTACTTTTCTTTTCTCCTTCTCTCCTTTACAAAAATCCATGTCCTGCATTGGAGCCAAGAAAATTTTCTTACCATTTCTATAGAAAATATGAATGTTTTCCTTGCCACAGTGTGTAGCATCAACATCAAACTGCCATGGCCTGCCTAATATCATGTGACAAGCATCCATGTCAACAACATCACAGTCCTTCATCAGAGTAGGTTTTGCCAATTGAAAATTTGATTAGACCGG